CTCTGAAAAAAAATAAAAGTGTAGTTGGGGTCAGGTTTTTTAATTGTCTGAAAATTGCATATCAGAAAAAGTATTGATGGTCCTTCATAAGTGTGCACTTATCTGACTAGTCTTCCTTGGTCAATTTCCTTGTCTGTTGCAAGGAAGGGAGCAGCCAAGGGTTGTCTGTTGCAAGAGAGCAGCCAAGTGCTGTAGGCAAGGCAAGACTGGCATAAAGGATAATTTGCACCGTGTTGCCCAGATCTCCATTAAAAAACACTGGTAAAGGGGAAAAAATGCTGAACGTGGACCCACCAAATGGCAGAGGGGGGATAATACACACATCTCCCACTTAGCAATGTCTTCCTCTCTGTTTTAAGTCCTGAAATGACAGCTCTTGGTGTCATCACCTTCTTAACACATCCCTCACTCTCCAGCTACTCCTGAAAGGGAAGATATTAACGCTTCCTGTGTCCCTCCCCACAACTTTTTGGAGCATTTAATGGGACACTGAGGGATATCAAGCTGTGTAACTGGATTATACTTGTGACAGGATCACATTGCCAAGGAGTAGGTATTGTTCCTCCCTTTCCTCCTTTTCCCATTCATTTGCCTGTTATAGGTGCTTCATCTATAACTGGGCAGCCACTCTGGCAGCTGTGTGCAAATTAGCCTATATTTAGTCTTGCATTGCCTATTCCTTCACCCACTTTGTTGGCTGAATCAGACAAGGAAATTGGTCAGGTACAGCAAACCATATTGGAAAGATTTTTATATATATTTGATTGAGTAATTTTGGGAACCAACCCCAAAGACCCCAGCTGTATTTTTGAGATAACCACCCCCCCCACACACACACACACAAAAAATCTGAGGAATGGGTGTCAGTCCTTCCAAAGTGCTTCTATAGTATTGGTGGAAAGACAGTTATTGGCATGATGGTAAAATTGAATGGCAAGAGGTTTGCCATGCTGAGTGCTTCATAGCTGTTCTCCACAAGTTACAATGAAATCACCATGATGGGATTGGATGATATAATTCATTGTGGGCAAGAACAATTCCTAAAATAAGCCATATATTAATAAGAGTTGTTTATGAAAACCAAGCCTCTCTGCAGAAAATAGATGACATGGCAACCCACCATGGCTGGTTACAGACGATGGGTTGTTGTTTTGTGCAAATCAAGCAGGGCTTCCATATAGTCTGAAGTGTCTGATTAGACCCTTGCCTAATCTTGGAAGCTAAGCAGGATCAGGCCTGGTTAGAATTTGGGAGACCTGAATCCGGCTTTGAGCAGAGGATTGGGCCCTATGGTCTTTCCAACTGTGTGATTCATGTGAACCATCCACAGTACTACTTCTATGGATGGTATCGAAATGTAATAAATAATAAAGCCACTTTGTTAATAACAGAGTTAAAACTAAACTTGAGTCTTCAGGGTTCAACTTGTTATTTGTTACTGCAAGCATGAGGACTCAGGCTTAGAGGCCAAATCTGAGTTCCAATCAATCCCTCTGGACTTTCCCAGATGATGATGATTCCACCTTCCCTGGCCATGCCCACTCCCCCAAACAGCAGTTAATTGGTCATTTTCTAGCAACTGTGCAGTTTTCCCCCTTTTTGAACAGTTGAAATACATGTGTTAAGGTTTAATTACTGGCATGGAGAGTTTAAAATACAATATGCTGGTACTTTGACCTTGCCCATTGTCTCTGGCCCCACTCATCATTGGAACGTAAATCCCCAGAGCTTATCTGAAATTGAATTCAGTTGTTGACTGAAAGAGGTTCTCCACCTCCTGTGCTACTGTCTTGAGACTTTTCTTAGGTCCTGGGGGCAAGAAATAGTGAGTTGTGTCTGTGCTTACTTGATCAGGTGCTTGGTGTGGGAAGGTGACTGGAGGGTGGATCTTCTGCTGGCTTCCTTTAAGCAGACAGAGAGTGGTAATCCCATTAAGCTTCTCTTAACTGTCAAGGAACAGGTAAGGAAACTTCTGATCCTTACCTATCATTTTTCAGCTCTCCAACAGCATGTTGTGTCTAATTTATTTTAAGGTTGCACCATGTGCATATTCAGATTTGAAAATAAATGCTCTCATAGCAACATCCATCCCTGCAGTCTCATTTTCATTAGTGGTGGAAACAATTCACCGACAATTCTCTATCAAAAATCTTGGTCTGGTGCTGTTTTGGTTATTTTGGATGCACTATACTTTGGCCACCTAATGAGAAGGAAGGACTCACTGGAGAAGAGCCTGATGCTGGGAACATTTGACGGCAAAAGAAGAAAGGGATGGCAGAGGATGAGGTGGCTGGATGGAGTCACTGAGGCAGTCGGCGTGAGCTTAAGTGGACTCCAGGGGATGGTGTAGGACAGGAAGGCCTGGAGGAGTGTTGTCCATGGGGTCACGATGGGTTGGACACGACTTTGCAACTAACAAAAACAACAAAGCCTGTGTCTTTTCTGGAACTGGCTTTGATGGTTCTTGGCAAGTATTGTGGTTTCTGTTGGGGTTGTCAAAGTGTAAATGTCATAGAGTAAAACAGAAATGTCCTGACACTACTTTCTGGAGAAAGAGGGTGTCTCTTTCTCAGTATCAGGATATCAGTAAAACCACTGAAGAGTGCTGTCACCCATGCCTGCTCCAGATATTGTCTCCAGATAAAGAAGACACTATGTCAGTGGTGTTGAAAACAATTCGGAGATGGAAGGGGAGATTCGGGCCTGTTTGTTCTCTGTGATTTCCTCTCTTAGCAAAAGTCATTTGGCATGGCAACTAAGGCTGTTTCTGTGCCTAAACTCCAGTTGAAATGGACCTAGAAAATCAGTTTAATTCAAGGATGCCTGGAGGCTGGCAACTACTTGTTCGAGCATTTTGTCTGAGAAAAGGGTACTGGTCACTGGCCTATGGTTGTTCAAGTCCAGGGTCAAGGAAATGTTTCTTCAGGTGATGTCATATTACTGCCTCTGTTAAAGAGGCCAGGGCAACCTCATTTCTCAATCACCTCCTGGACCCAGCCAATTATTTCCTCCCTGCTACATGTAATAAAGCTAGAGGGAAAAGAGGAGAGCACATAAGTCTTTGGGTAGATTTGCCAGATATTTTGTTCATAATCTGATGCCCTAAAAAAACTCAATGTCATCCAACAATGTCATCCAACAACATCCAAGTTACCTACTGATTGATCTGCATTACTGGTGACATCTAGATAATGAGGCTGGCCATCAACATGCTTGAATTGCTTGATCTATATATTATATCTTTAGTCAGCTCTGTTATATCTGTCAGATATAATAGAACCCTTGATAGCAGGTGAAAACATTATGTCTAGGGTTCTATTCTCTTCCACTGAGGTAGCTTGCAAGAGACCCCCAAGAGCTCAGAACAGCTGCAAATAAGATTGGGAGGGTGCAGTGATGGTGGAGAAATGAATAATTCTTCACCACCACCACCACCACCACCACAACCACCACCACCACCACGGCTCAATAATGAGCTTTTGCTTGTGTTCATTTGGACTTGTTCTGAGTTTTCCTCCACTTGTGTTCTAGATGTCATAGAATAGTAGCATTGGAAGTGGCCTACAGGGCCACTGTCTAACTCCCTGCTCAGTGCAGGGCTCCAAGTTAATGCATTCCTAGTAGATGGCTGTCCAATTGCCTCTTTAATGCCTCCAGTGTGGGGAACCCACCACCTCCCTAGGTAATTGGTTCCATTGCCATACTGCTGTAACAGAAGGTTTTCCTGATGTCCTGCCAGAATCTGGCTTCCTGTAACTTAAGCCATTATTCCTTGTCCTGCACTCTGTGGTGATTGAAAAGAGATCCTGGCCCTCCTCTGTGTGACACCTTTCAGGTATTTGAAAAATGCTATCATATTTCCTCTCAGTCTTCTCTTCTCAAGGCCATCCAGTCTCTCCTCACAAGACATTGTTTCCAGTCCCCTGATCATCTTTGTTGCCCTCCTCTTAACTTTTTCCAATTGGATTTGCATCTTTCTTGAAGTTTAGTGCCCAGAACTGGGCAACTAACCTGTTTCATTGCCCTCAGCTCAGTCATGTATGAAGGATCCATGTGAGTTACATTCAGCAGGAGAGGATACCACAAAGCGATGGTGTCAGCTGCCAAGGTCATCTCAGCATTCCATAAAGTAATTGGGACTTTGGCAGGAGCACCAAGCAGAAGATCCTGAGCCTCTGCTGTGATGCAATAGCCCAGTGTGGATGTTGAGATGAGCCTTGGAGTTCTCACTGAGTACACCTTTATCAGCCCAAACAGGGAGATTGTTGGGCAGCAAGGTGGGCAGAGCACAACAAAATTGCTAACTTGTCTTGAGCTTGCAACACCAAATACAGCCATTCCAGACTGGTACTCTGGAAAGGGAGTTCCTGCTAAAAAAGCAAAATCTCCCCCTTTGGTTTCTGGTCTGTTTTAGTTGTGACACAGTTTTCCTTATTTAGTGATTTTATGGTAACAGGGAGCCTGTATTTAGTTGATGATGCTTGGGATTTGGGTTCTCAGCAGATGCCCAGCCATTCCTACCCTTGATGTTGACCCTGACAGCAGCCTCCTGCTTTGTACATGACCTCTTGAGAACACCAGTTTCAACATGACCCATCTTTGCATCTTCTTAGCTACTCAACATCCCACTCACCTGTTTCAGGCTTTGTAATGCATTCAGTCACCTGTTAGTGTAGGAGATGCAGTCCAGGGATTGGATGAATTCTTTGAGGTAGGCTTTATGTCTTGGAGTTGTTTCAAGTAGATGTGTGCAGGTCACAGTATCACACCAGCCCTAGATGCATTTTCTATATATGAAGAGTGCTACTGTATCAGAACAGAGGGCAATCCAGTCTGGTGTCCTGCGTCCCAGACTGGCCATAAGGAGCAAAGCTTCAAGGAAGTGCAGGCAAAGCTGGAATGGTCCGTAATGTATGCCTTTAGAGAACTGGGCCTGTTTGTGTTAAATCATTCCCAATGCAATTCTGCTTTGTTTCCCTCCTGAATTCTATTTTTTTCAGACTTCAGCAACGCCTGTTAAAGAGGTTGTGCCTGAAAAAAAGTTCTCTCCATCAATGGAAACACTGCTGATGTTTCCTGCTCCAGAACTAGGTGGTACACAAGGAAAATGTGAGGAGGCCAGGAAGAAAATGTGTCTACTTAACCCTGTTCAACTAAATAAAACCAGGAGGGTTCTCTTTGACCTTTCAGCAGTTGATAGGCAGCAGGAATCTGAAGGTAAATGAGTCCATACGGTTAGAGGTTGTCACCTGTTGTTACGTGCCATTAAGTCATTTCTGTCCTATGCTGACCCCATGAGTGAAAACCCTCCAGGATGTCCTGTCCTTCACAGTCCTGCTCAGCCCTTCTAAGTTCAAGGTTGTGGTTTCCTTCATGGATTCAGCCCATAGGACATAGGGTGGTGTGTTTGTGCTCTAGTTGAATGCTAAGTTATGGTTCACTCCACTACATAGGAATTGGGGGAAATACCTAGCAGGAAATTATAGGCTTGCTAAATCAAGATTTGTACATGCACTTTATGAAGACAAAAGTAAATCTGATGTTTTAACTTTTAGCTTCCTGGTTCTCATTTTATGCAGTCAAAAAAACTTGTGCTAACATCTGCTTCCCCCCAGTGCCTAGTCCCAGTTTTGGGTGGTGGGATTATTGGGTGGTTTGGATTATTTCAGGAAGTACAGTGTGGAACAAAAGGATTAGCTTCCCCTGCCTTGCATGCTGCAATCCTGATTGTGCCTCCCAACAGCTGAAGAAAAATGCTGTGATGCTAAGCTATGTTTTTAATGTAATGTCACTCAGAATTGTGTATACATATCTAGCCTGTTTGCATTAATTTACCTTTGACTGGGCATTCTAAAATAAATGGGTCTAATCTGGAATAATGCATTTATTTATAAAAAATATTTTTCTGGTATAAATGCATGGCCCACCACTGAATATTAGCATAAATATGCATCTGTACTAGTGTATAGCCCTAAAGTGCCTGATCCTGCCTAAACTTGGAAGTTAAGCAGGGTTGGGCCTGGTTGAAATCTGGATGGGTGACCTAATGTTCTGCATTGCCCAGAAAGCATCAGCTACAGGTGGTTTAGAAATTATTATTCATTACATTTCTATCTGTTTTTTTTCTGCAGACTTAGAGATTAAAGAACTGCAAGGTAAATAAGTGTTACTTGGACTCTTTGTTGAGTTTTACAGTCTGCTTCCAGACTGGCAGCTCCTAATTCCACCCAGTCACTGCTCTTCCACTGTAAGTTACCTATGGGACTGCAATTGATTCCCCATGCTTTGGGAATAGCAGGAAGGGACACTGATTGTGCATGTATATGAACATGAAATTCTGTTCTGTTCATCTAGCAGGTGTGACATAAACTTGTGGGTAGGGAAGGTACAGCACACTTAGGGCATAATCCTATGGCATAGGGTCACTTTCTGGCCAGCTATAGGAAAAGGTGGCCTTCCCATTGCAACTTCAGAAAAGCCTTCTCGAGTTGCAGCAGAAACTCTGCTTTTGAAGGCCCCACTTTCTCTCATCTGATGCAGTTCTTTCTATGTTGGTTGAGGTCCAGATGAAAGAAGAGCCATCTTTGGGAAAAGTGCTTGGAGTATGTTCTGGGAGGACAGGGAGGGGTGAGGTACCCTCAGCTTCAGCCAAATCCAGGCAGTGCCTCAGCGCTTCCTCTTTGCAAAGAGAGAGAAATATTTAGACAGCAGCAGTCTAAATATTTTTGCTTCAGTGTTCCTCCCATGTTCAGTTAGATGCCTGTATCTTTCCAAGTACATTTGAGCAGTTATATAGAATTGCAGCATTACCGATTTTGAATGCAAATGTTTTATGGTGATGCTGAAAAGGTGGGCATGGAAGAGATGGGATTAAAAAAAAGTTCAGGCTGTGATACTTTTTCATTGAAACACACTTGTATCAATATTGTATTCTTAAAAATGTAGCTGAAACAGCATTAGTCTTAAATAAAAGATTGATTTTCAAAAGGGGTTTATAGAATGGTCCTGTCTGGAATAGTACCAGTGAAGGTGTGAAAGTTTAATTTGCCTGATACATCATTACAGATATCTAAACTGTACCTCTAGCAAACATGGAAACTAAGCTCTAAGATGGGGCGGGAAGGCTTCAGGTTTGTGGAATTTACTTTGGATTTTGTTAAAACCCTGAGGTCCACCAGCTAAAGCCTGGCCCAGTGCAAAACAACAACAACAACAACACACACACACGGTAAGACTGAAAGAATACTAAGCTCTTGTGTTTGTTTTCAGTAACAGAAATGAATGGAGCTTATAATTCTTTGACACAAAAGTCAACTTCTTGTTAGTCCAGATTCTCTTCTGTTTAACAGTATAATTTGAGGGTCATCTCTGACCTACTTCAAATCACCCAGAACTACTACAAGTAGATCATGATCTACCTTGTACCCATCCCTGTGCTAGACAAATCTACCTTTACACAGATTACACCACTTAAAAATAAAAATTCAGATTTTTTAAAATGTTGCAGTTATGAGGAAAGGTAGTAGAAATACTGGATAAACCCAAGGCAAGGAAGATTTAATGATTACACTCTTTAGGTGCCCTAAAAAGTGAGAGAACAAACTAGTAATTAAGCATCTAGCGGGGGAATCACAGGGATCCTTAGCATTCTAGGTATGAAGGTAAAGGTCTCCTGAATTCTTACCCTCACAATAGCATGGATTGTGTACTCTGGTTGTGACTGTCTGCTGTTTGCCCTCTATAGCATGTCCAAGCCCTCGGTGGTGTCATGCCATGTGCCTGAGTGACCCTGAAACTGCAGTTCTGATTGGTGGTGAAGGAGCTAATCAACAATTTTCCAAGGATGCTCTCTGGAAACTGGAAATAGGTGAGTTTGCTTCAGTGCTCATGGTGGCTGTTGCATCTTTTTCTGGAAGTGATGGGAGGGAAGCTTAGTGAAAATCAGTAAGTATAGCCAGAGAGGTACTTTTTAAGGAAGAATCTGTCATGTCCCTCAATTTGAATCTGAAAATGAGTGGTGGTTATTTTAGCTGTGCAATATTTGAATCCTGGCAATGCGTAAGGTGACTAGCTTTTACGCTAAGAGTGCAGAACCTGTTTCAGCCTCATGGCCAAATAGTATTTTGGAGAAGCCTTCAGGAGTCATATTCCAGTAGTGAGTAGAGTCATAGGCAAAAGGACAGAAACAAATTTCAGCTTATTGTAGCTTGAAACTTCTTACTAACAAGAAATAAGATTTTGGAGAGGCATTTCATTCTTTTTAGAAAGAGGAAAACATGCACAAAACCCAGGAAGCCATCAAATTAACAGGAATTAAGGGAATAATTTTTGGGGACCTCACTAATTAAAGTTTGGACTTTGTATCTAATGTTCTGCACACCAATTTAGGCTTGTACCATATTAATGACCATTTTTAGGTTTTTTTCTCTTGCTAATCTTGTGTCTTTTGCTACTGATTTCACAGACAATGACTTCTGGTTCCCCATGGATTTCCCAACAAATGTTTCTATGCCACAGTGTTCCTGGGGTCATAGTGCTACCTATGACCCAGACACCAAGCGCATCTACATCTTTGGGGGTGTAAAGGAGGGGAAGCAGTGTGGCAGCATCTATATTCTGGACACGGCCTCTTGGAAGTGGCTTCATGTGTCTGTGAGTTTCAAGAGAAACAAACCACTGAGTACCAAAGAAAATATGTGTGCGTATGTGCATCCATTTCTTTCTTTCCCTGCATTCTGCCCATTTCCTCTTGTGAGAATGGTTACATGTAATGCAGAGATGTGGCATAACACCTCATCCACATCATAGACGAAGTGGGGAGCAGCTGAGTTCTGAATTGTATCAGAAATTGGAGGAATCCCACTGAGATGTCATCAGCGGGAGGGCCTTGAGGGCTGCTGTTAACTCAGTCTAATGTGCCAAGACACTGTTGTGACTGGAGATCTCTTCCTCAGGCTAAGGGGAAAGTGCCCATGCTGGCCTACCACAGTGCAATCGTCTACCGCAAGGAGCTATTTGTCTTTGGAGGAGCTTTCCCTAAAATGTCTTCCTTGGAGACAGGAGCCTGCAGCAATGTTCTTTTCATTTTCAACCCAGAATATGAGATCTGGTACCAACCCATTATTGAGGGGGAGAAGCCTCTGCCTAGGCTTGGGTGAGGCACCTTTGCTTTCAGATCTCAGAGGGCTATGGAGAAGGGAATGTTGGTTTGGAAGCTATTCTGTTGGTTCTTTCCTCAACTGGAAGTCAAATGTCATACTGGTCTCCTCTTTCCTTTTAAATGCACGCATGCACGCACACACATGATTTGTATAAAGGCTGACAGCATAATGTCTGTTAGCATAATTTTAAGCTGTTGGAAGTAAATAATGAGTGATCCCTTTAGGAACCCTTGTGCATCTTCCTTCATTGATGCTGTGGGACCCTCTGGAGACAGCTCTGTGTATACTCAGGCCCTTAAGCAGAGCTGCTTTTCAAAAAGCTCCTGCTATTTAATCTTACTCATGACGCGCTCCTTTCTACAGTCATGGGACGAGGGCACAAAAATGAGAAGAAAAGGAACCTCTCTTCCTCATTCTTGGAAAATTTGAGAGGAAAGCGTTTTCACCTGAACTTCCCCAGATTTTTCTGAGCCTTCACATTTCTTCTCCCTTCCCTTATTATTAGAAGTATCTCTGTTTTTCTGCCCCGCTCCCCATTCAGAGCTTGTTATAGCTATGGAATACAGCAGTGTCCCTTCTCTATTCAGTAGAAGATGGGTATACATACTGTGCTTTAGAGCCAGTGATATCTAATACAAGCACTTCTACACATGTTGGGAGTTAATTTCCTCAACTTCCTCCTGCATCTGTAGTCCCCTGTGCACATCCCCCAACTTTCAGGGTAGCTTTGGCATGAAGGGATGCTGCAGCTGTGGTAGGATCAAGGATCACATGTCACTTATAGGTTTAAGAATCCAAGCTAATATTGATAAGGCTAGTGAAGGTTTTTCTTACCTTTGTAAGAAAAGGTAAGAAGGTTCTGGCTGAAGCTTTTTTAAATTCCTTTCTGTTCTGGTAACAAAATGCTGCTTTAGAGAATGGACGAAAAGATATGGCTGCTTCTATGTTTAAATTACTGGATGTTGCATTTGGAGCTAGAAGGTGCATCTATAGCTCATTGGACCAAATTACAGGCTTCTGAATATGTTGTTTAAATGACACATCATTAATGTTATTGAGTTTAGATGAGTTCTGTCCTTTGCCTTTCACCTAATATTGGAAAATCTACTCAGGCAATGGTATAATACTTTCAGTTACTTGATGTATTTCTCCTGGTAAAAGCGATTACGTTATGTGGTTTATTGTCTGCATCCTGAAGATGAAATCCCCTTATATTAGCATTTTGGGTTTTCAAAATTATTATTCTCATTTCCATAAAGCCTTCAGAGGAACCGCAACATTTTTAAAGCATAGTTAAAGTTGACCAAGTATTGGGCATGTCATGCTAGCTTGATGTGACGTCACTTGGATTCTAACAGAATGCATGATGTGAGCAAGATTTTAGTTATTGAGATTAGAGCTAATATGTCATTTAGTGGTATGTTGCTTGTTTGCTGTTCTTCCTGTTCCGCAGCCATTCAGCTACTCTGTTGAGGAACAAGTTGGTCATATTTGGGGGCCAGAGGACCTCTACATATTTGAATGACATGCACATCCTGGATTTAGGTAAGAATTGAGGCATTGCCTGTCTCTTTAAATGGACTATAGCTTTTAGGAACCTGTATGCTGATGCGTTTGGTGGGCACTGAAGATTGGTGGGAGTTGCCTGAAGATAGGAAATTGCATATTGGTAGAAAACTCTGAATGAAGGAAGTGGGCGACAACTGTGTTTCAAAACATTTTGGAGAAGGGAATCAAAATACTCTAACAGTGGCCCTTGTACAATTACAGGGGTATTGCAATATGTATTGCTAGATGCACAGTATTTTATTGTATTCTGTCTAAGTTGAAATAAAGAAGCTGGAGGGTAAACTATAAGTGTAGCAGTATCCCCCATTTCTGCTGTGTTTTCACTTAAGCACAGTTGACCTCAGTCTGAAAGAGAAGTGGTGAAGTACTTCTTTTAAGTGAAAATTCTCAATTTAATAGGGAAGGGAAAAATCATATGGTGAGGTTGCTAGGATAGTAAGAACTAATCTTCTATGTGAGAAATTGTGAAAAAAGAAATGTGTATGTATAGTATATGATGTTTGCTATTATCCACCATTTCAGGCATCTGCTGGGAGACTTGGAACATATCCCTGCATATATAGGGATCCTGCTGTAGCATTGTTTAAAATGTTTATTCTGGCATACATTTTTGTGAACTATAATCTTTGTGAGATGTATCCTCTTGGGGTGGGGGGGATGCATGTTCCCTGCTCATTTCATTGCCATTTGACCCCACTGTACATTTTTTCTTTTACACACGTGCAGATATATCTGCTGACTTGACTAAGGACAACATTTCACGCATCTGATGTGGTAGACTCTTGTCTTTGGATGCTTATGGCATAAAATACTTTCATCTCTAAGGTGGTATAAAACTTTTGTTTATGTTAAGTTTCTGGCATCTGAAATGTCTTATTGTTTTCTCAACCTTAAGGTTTCATGGAGTACAAATCAGTTCGTTTTCTCTCTGGACAACCTTCTGCTCGCAGGTAAGATTGGTAAAGTAGGTTGTGAGGTTACATGTGCTCTCCTGCTTGACTAGTGCAAGTGACTGCTAGGGCAGAGGTGTGGAACATCTTTCAGCCCAAAGGCAAATTCCATTTTGGAGAAGCTCTCTCATGTCACATTTCGGTGGCAAGCCAAGGCAAAAGGGAATGCTAAATGCAGCAGCATAGTTCAGAGCCCTTACTGCTGCTAAGTCTTAGGAAAGGCATTTTACAGCGGGGAAGAAACTGTATACAAACTGGGAACCTGTCAAACAATTGGTAGTGTCATGTAGTGGCTACAGTGCTGGACCGTGACTCAGGAGATCTGGGTTTAGTCTCCACTTGGCTATAAAGCTCACTGCGTGATATTGGGCTACTCACTGCTCCTCAGCCTCACCTACTTCACAGGGAGGTTGCGGCACAAAGATGGAGAGGAAGAAGACTTACATAAGTTGCATTGGGTTCCTCGCAAGGAATGACAACAATAATAGTTGTGGGGAAAGAGGTGGTGACTGTTGAAACTGCACAGACTTGAACAATCCCCCCCCCCATAAGTGGATGTGCCTGTGTGGGGAACCCCAGAGGTCAGATTTCTCTGTTACCACAGCCTGAGGTGGCAGTACCCCTGTAATTGGAGAAAGCTTGTAGATGTTGATTGACCTGCCTAAGATCCTATGGAGATGATAAAATGAGATGCAAATCTGAGTAAAGTGGGAATGGGAGAGGTGGGCCTTTCCTAAATAACAGGGGCAGAACCACCTTCAACTCAGGACTGATTTTGGAAGGGGGGCTGGGGCTGAAAATGCAAAAGACCCAGAGGCAAATGCTGGGGGCCAAAATGCCAGCATATTTTACTTTACAGCTCCTACTGTTAGTAACTAAGCCTAACAAGAGGCATTTCATCCTTTAGAATGGGGCAGGGGGCAATTCTCAAAAGCCAGGACACTGGAAATTGGGGAAGGGGGTTAAGACCAGAGAAGGGCTTATAGCAATATTAGAATCCTCTCAAGGGCTTCACTGGGACCCCATGTGAGCTGGATTTGGCTTCCTGACTTGATTTGTGCCCCTGTACTTTAAAGTGTGCTCTTGCACATAGTTTATGAACTACACAAGGCCCACTGAGCCAACTCCTCTTCACTGTCCACTGCCATTGCCTCCATGTTTTTCTGTGCCGCTTCACAATGGCTCAAATCCTGGTCAAAGCATTTTCTTACAGTGATGAAATGTGATGGATCCCTGACAAGTCTGCAGAACTTGTTGAAAGGCACTCAGTATTCCTTTTAAGAACACAAAGGGGCTGGTGAGACTGGGGCTTTACTGCTGAACAGAAGAGGTGATGATCCCACAGGGGAGGACAGAAGGTGGGGCTGGTGCATGAATGAGTCTGTGCAGTTTGCCTGGTGAAGGGGCAGTTCAGGAGTCACCACGGTAGGCAGTTAAGCCCTGCAATAGCCCACGGGTTTCTGGGTGGCTTGTTACCCAGAGCAGCAAGCCACCCTGGTTGTATTCAACACAGCATAATGAGCTATGCCATGACAGGTGACTGCAAATCCCCACAGCCCCCTGTGGCTTGTTAACTGCCTGCTAATCATGCAAACCTGTACACTGATCAGTGAGGTCCACCTGCTGTCTTGTCAGTCTTGAGTTGACTCTTAAGGTGCTCTCTTCTGTTTCTAGTTTCCATGCTGCTGTCCCAGTCTCAGATCAGAAACTGCTGATAAGTGGAGGGTGCAATGCCAAAGGAGCCTTTCAGGATGCATTCACATTCCATCTGGGTAGGTCTGTGCAGTCCTGTCTCCAGCAAAGCTCTTTCAAGTTATGGACGAGGACGGCTAGCATCTTGTACCTACTATTTTTATCTTTGCATTGCAGATACTGCGACTTGGAGCACAGTCAAGCACAGGGACCTTTGTTCTGTGCCCCGGGCCGGCCACACACTGTTGAACTTGACTTACGCTCACCTGACTGATGTGGATAAGAAAAGCCAGGGCAAGCACAACCTGTGTACAGTGCTGGTCTTCGGCGGCACAGACCGTGCTGGTAAATTCTACAGCACCACAAGCAAACTCCAGCTGGACCTTGAGGTGGTGACAGCAGCTTCTCAGGATCCAGTCTGAGCCACTGGAAGTTTTGTGCTATGGCCATAGATAAGGAGCAGCAGAAAAACTGTGGACTTGGAGAAAAATTATGGTTTACAACTGTGTTAATGAGGATGGGATGTCAAGGTAGTACTTTTTCTTTTTTTTTATGAAGGCCTTATTATTTACATCCCTTGGTTACCAAGAGGTAGAGCACAGATTGCAGTTGGCTTTCACTTTCATGTTTTTTTGGGCAGCGTTCTTGATTATTGCTGCCCTTAAATCCCCTACTGTTCTTCAATCTGTGACATACCCTAATTCTGGGATTAAGAAGCCATAGGGCTGCTACTGTGACATGCCCCAATATCCAGTCCTGAGGATCTCTGTGTTCCATTTATAGCTTGTATTATTAGTGGAGGGGACACACTGGATGCTCCCTACAAGTGAATGAATAAATACTACAGAAAGTTTGCAAATTCTAGAAGTTTTCAAGGTGGGGCTACAGATACTTGCTATAGCTGTGAAATACTTAGGTCAGATTTACATTCCCCTAGAATCTGTATCTTTTTACTCCAGTTTGTTTTTTCTCCAATATATTGCATTGCTCTTCTGAACTCCCCATCCTACTGGTCTGGCTAATGCTGTCCATGTTTTGAGCAACCTGCACCTAAATTCTCTAATGAAGCATGCACAGAAATCCTGACTACCAGAGTTTGGCTTAGTCATTCCCGATTTGTTCACTGAATATATGAATCTTGCATGATGATAAACAATTGTGTCCCCAGACCAGAGAAACTACGTATATTTGTATGCCTTATACAGGTCAGAAGAGTCATCCTTTTTCTGCTGCAGAATGATTGTTATGGACTGAACATATTCAGCTCTAATTAACACTTCAGAGAAATGTGTGTACTTTCCTCTTACAGAAAAAGTGGCAACCCCCATGGGGTTCAAAAGCTTTCTATTTCCTGGTGACTTATTGCATCAACTCCCTCTGCTGTTACCACTTCATGTAGCAAGAGAATATGTAAGGTATAGGCAGCTCAAGGCTGAGGGGTGCATCTGGCTAGGAGGGACTACTTTAGTTCCTCATCTAGCAGTTTTGATGCCATAGATTTCTTCAGCAACTTGCTTCCACACAAATGACTGATTCTTTTACTGCAGTGCAAAGAGTTGCAGTTCTTCACAGACATCGTGAGACAGAGACAAATGGGAGGATTTGAGCATCCAGATGACGGCTTTTTTTAAGCACCAAAATAGATGCCAAATTAGGGAGCCAGTGTGGCAAAGTGGTTTTGAGTATTGAACTGGGACTAGGGAAATCCATGTTCCATGAGGTTAGTCAAGAAGCTTACTGGATGACTTGGGCCAGTCATGGACTCTCAACCTAACCTACCTCACAGGATTGTTGTTGGGAGGATAAAATGGAGGAGATCCTAATAAGCTGCCTTGGTTTCCTTGCGAGAGGAAGAAAGGGAGAGCATAAATGTAATGTAGAAGTATTTATTGAGCAAAGATGGGAGGGTTTTGAATGCCCTCCCTTGTCTACCAATTCTTTTCCAAAAGTGTAGTCTCCCATGGTTTGTAATTTCCTTCCTTCCTTTGAGCATGGTCTGAAAAAAGTTCAGCTGTAGGGGGGATGAGGGGTTAAAGTTTGCCAGAGATCTGGCACTGAAGGGCTAGTATGGTGTAGTGCTTAGGAGTGCAGGACTTGGTTCTGGTCCTCAGCCATGGAGCTCTCAGCCCAACCTAACTTACAGGGCTGTTGTTGTGAGGATAAGACTGAGAGGAGTAAGAGAATTATGGAAGCCACCTTGAAGGGCAAAAGGGTAGGATATACATAAAATAAAGACAGGATATTAATATAATGATATAATAATATCACAACCTCCTACACTTTTTCTCATGTGCAACTATCCACTTTCATTCTCTGTTACCTTGACAAATGGGAGGCTGGGATTAGGTGTTTGCACAAATAACATCTTGTTTGGCCCTTGGAAAAAACAAACACAACCCTTTTGCAGCCTGACCTATTGTAGGAAATATAAGGCCCCTTAGCATCAATAGTTCTGTGCTACTGGTGTGTTGGTTGATTTGAGGATGGACCCTGTATAGCAATAAGACTGGGAACAGCTGCTCTTGTATTGGTCCCAGAGAATGATAACTGTGAAGCCAGCACAGTATTATTTATGGGACCAGCTATCCTGGCCCTAAGCACAGCCCCTACCACATCCCATTTTGTTGGTGCAATAGTAAAATAACCAATTTCTCCTAAATTGTTTGGTTGAAAACAACCAATTTTAGTTTGAAACAAAGCTGATTGCTTTGTTCATGGCTGCTAAAATTCAGTGGTATATGTGTGGCTTTGGTGGGGGGTGAAATTGGCCCCAAGAATTACCTGTCAAAATCCATACCTGATTCCATACACATTTATGATGGCACTTTTCATTTAGCACTTCTAGATTAGGCTTTTATTAAGGGGTTGGAGGAAAGTCCAGACTCGGTTGACTTCCATTTGTAACTTTCCCATGCCTTCCTACTATTTCTTCTTACCACAGAAAATCCATTAAAGAGGGAAAGACAGAACAGTTGCACAATGTCTGAAGCATTATTCATCCACAGCCACCCTTTCAAAACAGCCTGGCTATAGGCTGATCTCTTTGCCCTCTACTGTATGGGAAGCCAGATGATATCACATTCTCACACAGAATCCTCAACAAGCTTTCTTCCTTTTAATCTGCTTCATGATAGCATTTACATTTGTCAAACATGATCAAGGCAGCAAGCTCCTGATCCTGTAGCTGGATGTTACGCTACTGCAACATGTCTTCCTCTTGTCTTTTCTCTTCAGAAGGTGGTGAGGCTTGGTTCCTTCCTAGCATGTTCTGCAGGGTAGAGTCCTTTTCTGGGCAAACTTTACTCAGTAGAAGAAACGGCAGCTTTAGGCTCTTAGGTCTGAAGGTGTATCTGACTGCCGAGATGGGTGACTTGTTTGGAATGCTTCTAATTCTAAAAGAGCTTTGTTGATTTTGCTTATTGTGGGGTATGGTGTAAGATCCACTTTAAACCTGTTAAGAGAAGTTAACAGTTAGACTTGGAGTCACTAGTAGCTAAAGTGGCAGCATGGGTGGGGCTGCAGCTCTGTGGCAGAACCCATGCCTTGTATGCAGAAGTGTCCAGGTTCAATTGCCAACATCTCCAGATAGGGCTAGGAAGGAACTCTGCCCAACATGCTGGACAGCTGCTGCTGGTAAGTGTTAGATGGACCAATGGCCTAACTCGGTGTAAGGCAGCTTCATCAGCTTCTGTGTTTTTGTGAATAAATGCTCCATCCACAAGGCCTGCTTGGATCTACTGTACTCAGCTGCTGGCCAAAGACCGAAGAACTGGCTCCTTCAAACCAGAGGTGTATCTAGTCCAGCATCATGTTTTCCCAGATGCCTAGGAGGCCAAGAGCAGGACAACAGCCCTTTCTCACTGCTTTACCCAGCACCTGGTGGTCAGGGGCACACTGGTTCTGATCCAGGAGGTAGAATACAGCCATCATTACTAATAGCCATAGTACTAATGCATTCCTTAAAATATTGCACCATTTTTCAAGCTGCATATGCATTCCTTTAAGACCAAGCTTGATCTTGATTCAGAGACACTCAACAGAAAGAGTACATTGAACACAGATGATAGGCTAGGGGCTCACTAGCCCAAAATGGTTCCCAGCTATGTAAAAGTGAGCTAAAGTGGTATGGGGTGTGTGCATTTGTAGGACACTAGAGGGTATGAGGGAGGAGTTAGAAAGTAAAGGAGTAGAGGGGAGAGAACTAGTAAGGCTAGAGGCTTAAAAGAGAGAGAAGAAAACGTGACAATATTTTCCAAGGTTTTTATAAAAAATCTTTGAAGGGGGCAGGAGTGGAGAATTCAATGGATGCTGTTTGAGTACCCTGCAGATGCCCTGATGCTTGTGGGCACTGTGTTGGGACAAATTTGACAGTCGGTGGGGAGAGAATAGAAAAAGAAGAGATTGTGGTCTGAGGAGGAACATGAGGCCACAGTAAGAGAAGAATGAAGAGATAGTTTATAAAACTTTTCTTTTACATCTGGGTAACAACAAATAAAGCACTAGTCACTAGTGGAAAGATGCATACTGCTTCCAGGACTAGAGGGTACTATTACAAGTTGATCATATTCCCTTCAATCTGAAACTTTCACCATTCAGCTTTACAGGCCAGATGGATTATAGTATGGGTTTGAGGTTAAGATAATTCAGTGCTCGTCTCCAAGTTTAGAAGACCTCCCAAAACCAAGGTTCTGGAAGTCAAAACCCAATTTAAGAGTTGCTACAGTCTCCAGATTATCTGCTCCTTCAGTCAGTTGCAGCTTGCACACACAGAGGAACATGTCTGACTGCCAAACTGCCTGTTGTGATTATACCACAAACCAGCTTACCTCTCAGCATTATACACCTGGGGAACCAAGCACAGATCAGCCATGGTCACCTGCAGAGAAGCAAAGCATGGTCTCAAAGCAATGCAAGAACCCTTCTGTTGAAGATTTAAGATATTTCAGCCCTGTAAGAATCATACAATGGAGGCAATTGGTAGTGATGAGCTTTGATATGGATGAAATTTCTGCCGAGCAATTGACGAGTCATTTTAACTCTTGCCCCATCTGACCGAACACGATCTACCCAGACACTCATCAAGACCTGGGGGCTGCCTTCATCTGCATCAGGTGACTGCCATGAACTGGTAGGATAATATGGGAGAAGAGGGTCTTTTAGGCTTGCTAAATGTAAATACAGTTACCTGGGCAGGCAAAAATCCCACTGAATTTATTGGAACTCCTGAATAGTTCACAGGATTGTGCTGTGTATATCCAATTTTAAGATGGAGTCTAGCTTATCAGTGGCAACCTGATCCTTGCATATTACAGTATGTTTTGGGAGAAACTTGATCATTTTATGCATTTGTGCATGGAAATGTTCTATGTTTTCTGTGAAGGCTGTTCTTCACATTGTCAGCAGCTTGTAAGGCCCTTTTAACAAGGCCTTGCACCCTTCTCCAGAGCCATTACAAGATCAAATACATCACTCAGCAGCTTCCAGAAGTGGCCATCAAACCACCTCTGCCAGCAGGTGGTGCTAGTGCAGTATAAATTAATTGTAAACCCTGTTGGTAGTTCCAAAAATGGCTGAGAAGTTATTTCATTTCTATACCACTCCATAGCCAAAGCTTGGTGGTTTGTTGGGGTAGAGGGAGGCAAAGAAGGGGTGTATTTAAGTATTATTACTCATTGTATTAATTTTACAAGAGGGTGACTGAATCATACAACTTAAAGCTTATCAAATACATGTGCTTTAGGTACATCTAAAGAGGTACATCTGTACATCTTTCAGTTAGTGTATCAACAGGAACCACCAAGATCAGTTGGAGTAAATAAGTCTACTATCAATGTACCATCTGAGTATATTTGGTTGGAAATAAGGATCATAGCATATTGGGACTTCATGTGGATTCCAGTGCACAGAAAGAAACTGCTTTCCTTCTCAGATTTTCATGGACCCTGTGAATCTCTCTGCGTGCACTCGAACCTTATTCATTCTGGGCATCTGGTTCTCTTGGTGATCAGATGCTTGAGCTTGTCTTACCTCATTCCCTACGCAGTAACGGCCAGCTGTTTCCTGCAGGATCTGCTCCAGAGCTGCAGGAAAACAAAAAGGTAACATTACTGGCAATTGGGATTTTTTTTCATCATAGGGTTTTTATGGATAGATAGGGCAGCTGTCTTTCATACTGGGAGACGAGAAAATTTGTGGAAGTGCCTATTCCTCCTGGAAATTATCCTTACAGACAAGTTTTCCAGAGACATGGTATAAAGACAAGGAGTTATATTCAGTGTTAGTCCTCCTTAGAGTAGACCCACTGAAATACTTTTGCCCATCAGCTTAATGGGATGACCCCAGGATCTAGTACATGGGCCCTCAAACTACGGCCTGCCGGATGGATCCGGCCCCCCATGCCCATTTATCCGGCTGTGCTGCTGCCCGCAGGCATGCTCACCGCCACCTTGCCACGTGCAGATGGTTTTGGACTCACTGGGAGAACTTCGAGCAAGCGAGCGAGCCGGCCACATGCGCCTGACACCACCTTGTGCATGCATGACGCCGCCTCAAGCGTGCCCGACGCCCAGGCACCCCTGCCTCACCGGCCCGTGCCAGTCACCGCCACTTTTCAACTGGCCCCCTACTGAAAAGGTTTGAGGACCCCTGTTCTAGTATTTTAAGAGGAAGGAACAAGGCAGTTCCTGATGCTTAGTGGTCAGTATAACTTCTATTTCCATCTTTGCCTGTAGAGTGTAAACTGGGTGAAAAAAACACGCATAAGCCTTTCTCTACTTGCTGTATTGTCTTTCAGTCAAGCATAAAATTTTAGCAGGAAGAAGTGCTTGTAGGGGAAAAGCAGCAGCAGGGCAAAGGGTTAAGTACTCTTACCGTTTTGCCATGTAAAAACAAAACAGCCTTTTCTTTTTTTAAACTAACAGGAGTTGTTCGCAGGGGGTATTCCAAATTGATGCAACTCTGTTTACAATGTAAAATAGTACAATTAACTGTTCCACCTTCCTATTTTACCAAGCCAGTCTGCTTTCCTATGTCGATCAGGCCTTAATATAGTAAGACATCTTGAAGATTCATTTCTAGTGGCTGTTTGCCTCAGGGAAGGGGAATCCCCATATTTTTCTTCTCCAAACATTCTTGAAGGATTTCATGCTGCTTAATTCTTCCTCCAAAAACTCCCAATGCAATAGAAGAGGGGTTAGGAGCCTTGTCTTTCCTTAAACATCCCACCCTATTAGCAAATGACTTTTGGCTGAAAATTTCACCCTGGGACTTACCTTTGAAGCCACGAGAAATAAAGTGCTGTGCCCAGTCCAGCTTCTTTTCTCCCATTTTGTTCAGGACTGTTAGATTCTGAGAAATAGCATAGTTGTAGCTGGTTAGATTCTCTCTCCCTGCAGAACTTAACCATGACTATGCGTACGTAAGAGAGGCCACTAGGGAAAATGCTGGGGAAAGGAGCACAAAGGCTATTAGTAAAGGATATTTTGTCCATGCTATACTGCATGGGTGAGGGAGCTGTGGTCCTTCAGATGTTGCTGGACCATCATGGCCAATGGTCAGAGATTATGGGACTTGTGATCCATGAGCATCTGGAGGGTCACAGATTTCCTTCTGCAATAAAGGCCTTAATTTGTCATGCCCTAAAGCTGGGAGAGAGGGAAATACTGGGGGAGCATTTCCTTACCCTTTGCTTCATCCTTGCAAACAACAGACTTAAGTCCCATTCATTTTGATGGGTCTATTTTAAGTATGGCTAACATGGAATTCAACCTAATATACTGAGGTGGATGCACCAATTTCTTTTGTCCCACTAAGTCCCTTGTTGGCAACTGCTTTTTTCAAATGGAAGCCAAATGTGGGAATGAATGTGGGCTGAAGCAGCAGCAAGATGTACAGCAGAGAGCTCTTTAACTCTAACCTATTCTTCAACAGTTTTGTTACAAACATGCCATTTTGTACATAGCACAACTTTAATTAATCTTATCACAGAAAAAATAAGGACAATAAGGAGTAATTGCATAATGTCAATACAAGGAGCCCTCTTGTCTGGAAGTATGCTGGATCACCTGTGGCAAATAATTGTCATTCGGCAACCAGACAAATCCGCAACACCTGGACTGCAGGAGAACAGGATGGTGTTGTCTAGGGCGAGTCAGCAAAACCTTTCTGGAAATGAAGTCCTTACTTTCACAGGTTCCCCAAGGTCCTGACCACCTTGTTTCTCAAGGCTCTGAACCTCTGGAACCAAGGATACCAAGTAATAGCAGCATGGAGAGCAGGGATTGTCAGCAGCACCATGTGTTCTGTTAAAGAACTGATTCCATCTTCCTGGATTTAGTGGGCAGTATCTTATACTGCTTCCACACTAGTGATATGGACCACTGGCAGGTCCTGAAATAACTGGGAGCAAGTGAAAATGCATATTTCTGGAATGGAGCAGCTCATGGAAGGGAGCTCCATCCCTGTCCTGTTCTAGAAATGAATGTTCCCATCCATTTTGGGGACTGGTGTTCAAGCAGTCCATTCACTTGGTGCAAAAGAGCTAGCAGAAATGCAGCAGCAGTATAGGATACTTGTTAAGGATGGGCATACAGCCCAGAGGGCAGAAGGTTATTTACTTGTAAGGGCTGAATTCCAGAAGTAATGTGATCAGAGATCATCCGGACTTGGGCTCTCTTCTTTGGATCCTGAGGCAAGATCCTAGGGTTTGGCCGTGTCTCTTCCAGATATTCTATTATAGCCAGCTGCAAGAAGCAGAGATACATTACATTTAAGCTGAAATAATCTTGGGAAGCTGACCAAAAAGGAAGGCAGTTCCCTGATGCATGTAAATAAAGCCAGATATGCTTAGCTTAAAGTAACTGAGCAGATGTTTCCAGAGGTGGTAGTGTATACCGTGCAAGCAGTCCTATGCGTGGGAATCCCTTGGTAGGATTTTAGCAAGCCACTCCTTTTACTTCAGCAGAGATGCAGTGAATCCCACCTCAAGAATAAAGTTCACTGCATGAAGAAAAAGTACCTTATGGAGTGGGGTTATTTGTTCCTAACAAACTGGCCACGGCTTTCATGCCAGCAGATCCCAAGCCTGATCTTGAGAATTGGCTCCCAATTTAGAGTGCAAAGTCTGGACAGCAGAACTGGATAAATCGTTAATACAAACTGCTTACTCACCGACTGCGAGAGGGTGATGCCATCAATTTTGAGAGCTGGGACTTGCTGCATTGGATTCACCGTTTGGAACTCAGAAGACAGCTGTGAAGATGAGATAACGCCTAAGGCACTTGAAATGCAAAATGGCAAAACTTTCCCCATGAAGAAAAGGCCTTCCAAGTCTTTGACTCAAGATAATGTTGGCTGATACTTTTGTCAAAGACAGAAGAGGAAAGACGAGACCAAAAAAGGAGATGGACTGAATCCACAAAGGAAGGCACAGCTTTGAACTTGGAAGAGCAGAATGGAGCTGTCATGGACAGGACATTCTGCAGGGCTTTCATTCATGGGGTTTGTTGGTTTATTTAAGGCTTTTACATTCTGTCCAACTACTAGCATCTCGGGATGGTTTTACCATAAAAGCAACACAAATAAAATGGAGCACAGCATCCAACACTTCAGTATAATAAAACCCACATTTAAAACCTATTAAACATTAAAATAGTGGGAAAGTAGAAAGGGGACTTATGGGTTGCCATAAGTCAGAGACAACTTGACAGCACAACAAACTCTTGCTACCCCATTCAGATAGTGGGATGTCTCCCCTACATCACAAAGAGCACCACAACCTTCACTTTGGATTTCACTGACAAGAATGTTCTGCTGTCTTCCCCATGTAGCCCAAAACTGAGAAACCTAAAACAGTTCCTCTTCCAGTGCACTGCACACTAACAAGCACCACATGCTTTCACTTTCTGAACAATGTATAGTAACTTGATTCCTTTGGCTCAGTAAAATCACACTTACACAATCATCTCTCAGGCACATGCATGCATGCACACGCACCAGGCTCTCCAGCTTTTCTGGACTGTTGGACTACCATTTGATTTGGCATTTGCAGCTCAAACCCCACCTCCAGCTTCTATTTGGGTTCTTGCACAGATTATTTGACGTTAAGAGTGCAAATGCTGTGCCTATTTAGCCAGAAAAAATGCCCCACTATTTGCAGAATTCCCCAGCCAGGAGTTGTAGGACTTTTTTCTGTCTTAGCACATATAGAATTGAGCCTTTAGCATTAGCAGTTGGCCTTCTGGGGATAAAGGGATATAGATTGAGTAAAAGAAAAGATGCAGCCTTGCCCTGCATGGATCTTCACAATGTGTCAAGGTACTAGCTAGAGAAGGCCCTCTCATATCCAGCATTGACAATCCATGAAGAGTAGGAACAGCATTACCACCTGACCCAATGAAAACACACAGTGAAAAATATCAAGGGGGACCTGTACTTGTTCTTCCTCGACCTGTAAAGCAGACCTTCCTTGGGACACTTGTTTGGCATTCATTAAGCACATAGGGGAGAGTTCTACTAGGCCCATCCATCCCTCCATTCCAGCATCTGGTTTCCCACTGTTGCCAACCAGACGCCCACGAGAAGAAGCCCACAAACAGGATATGAGGGCTACCTGGCCACCCTGGCAGTGGAATCTCAGCAACTGGAATTCAGAGGCACACTTTGAAATGCTTCCAAATTGTTCTTATTCTTTTAAGAATCTGCCAACCAATAGTTACACCCCTTAAAGATGCAGACCTATTATGACTATTGTAAACCATTGAATTTTGAGGTTTACAGTCGTCCTGTGCAGGGCAGTAGGAATGGAGGTAACAATCTCATCTCCCGTTCTGTATTCTTTGCTAGACAGCCTTTTTTGCTTGTCTGGCTGGGGTGTTTCAGAGAAGGAGGGAAGGACACTGAAGAGGATGCAGGATAGCTCGTATCCTGACCTTTCGATTCTCCTCCACTCCTTGCCCAGCAAAATGACCCATTTACTACCACTAGGGCCACAGGATTGCTTCCAAAGTGGGGGAAATCTGTTTCAAATGCCTTCAGCTTTACAGATAAGAAGAGTCCCTTTCCCTGTAAAGTCATCTGAGGGAAGTGAAGCAAAATTCTGTGCAATGGCTTTTGATCCTAGCAACCCAGACTTTACATGGGTCCCATCTTCCTGCTGTACAAAATGGAATGCTGTTGTCTCCTTACCTGCTGCCCTCCATCTTTTATAAGATTCACTGGTACTTGATCATACACAATGCCTTTCAGAGCCAGCGCTGCCAAGAAGAAGGTGAAACACTTACCTCCAGCAACTTTTATCATTTCTACTTTTAAGCCTTTTCTATATAATAAGTTAGAACAGCACAGCAAGATGATAAAAATTCATAGAATAATTTCACAAGACTGTTTGGCTTTAAGAATTTTCAAAACTTCTTTGTTGGGATAGCTGGCAGCATACAAGTGCAAAAATAAATGCATAAAGAGCAAACGGTAATGAAAAGCAAGACTTTATTTGGGGGAAAATGAGCTCACTGATATTTAAAGCAACAGCAGTATAGGGTACAGTGCACAGAAGAGCTGATTGAAGCAACTAGAGAACACTGGAAGTTGCAGGGCTTTTTCCCATCTTAACACACACAGAACTGTGCACTCAGTTTCAGCATTTCCCAAAAGCGTATAATTTCTCTCCTCTCTGTTCTCTCTCTAACTCTGAAGGGTTAGGCAACATGGCTGCTGCACAGTGCATCTCAGCTTGCAGTTGATCCATGTGGGTACAGTATTTGAGCAATAATTTCTGTGCAGAAGCCAGATGCAGCCATATGGGAATTTCTCTAGCAGAATCTGCTACTGTCTTCCTTTATTCCTGCTCAGCAAGGAAAAGCTTGGACCTAATTAAAGAAACAGAACCTCCACATGTTGCTGGACCCTCACAGCCCTTGCTGGCATAGTCAGGGGTGAGAGAGGATAGCAACTGTAACCCATTTGGAGGGCCACATGTTCTCCATCTCCACTCATAGCACATCTGGACAAACCACATTTTTTTACATTCCTTTTTCAGTATCTGAGCCATTTGCTTTCCTTTTTAAAAACCCAAAGAAAATGCTGAATGTACATATTTCACTTCTAGTCTCCACCCAGCCATGCAACTGGGTGACTTTGGGCCAGTCACAGATTCTCAGACTGTTTCCTCACAGGGTTGCTGTAAGGATGAAGTGGGAAGGAAGAAGAAAATTATGGAAGCTTCCTTGGGTTCCTTACAGGAAAAGGGAGTAAGATAAATATAGCAACCAAATGAATATTATCCATGGAGAAAAGCAAAATGGCTAGAGTCGTAGGACAAGGAAATATGAACTGAAAGCACATATGCTGCGAGAGGGCTGGAGTGGAACACGACAAGGCTGTTCTGCATGGGGATGGTTGCACACAGAATAAATCCCAGAAGGAGGAACATAGGAGACTGTCTCATACTAAATCAAGCAATGATCAGTGTTGCCCATATTGAATATGATGACTGGCAGTGCCTCTCTGGGGTTCCAGCTCTAGCTGGTGATGCCAGTGCCTGTCCTTGGAAACCCTGATTACAAATATGTACTCAATGGCTAAGTTATGGCCTCTTCCTGATAATGAGGTCCCGCTTTTCCCCAGTGCAAGGGCCACTCTGTACTAGATTTTATGAGGTTACCACTTCTTCTGACACAACTGTTAAAACCAAAGCTTCCCAAGATCCTTTCCATTAAGATCCTTTCCATTTCAGTGCAAATGTAAAAAAATGCAGCAACTACAAACATCTGGATTCCACTAACTTTTAATGTAGACAACATGCCTAGAATTACTCTCAGACTTGGCACAAAAAGAGGACTAGGCAAACAGAGAAACATGCACGCAAAAAATGGTTAAGACCATCAAAAGATTTGGAACTTCTATTACATAACAAGAGTAAATGTGGTCTGTATTGCATACATTTTCTGCCACTCTAGAGGGTCATGTCACACAGTAAAAATAAAAATAAGAAACTACATGGAACATCTGCAAAGTAATTAACTTGCACTTTGTGTGTAAATTATCAGGTGAGATGGTTACACAAGATGTACGTACAGGCTGTCACCAACTGCAGCCTTTTACTGCTTGTACTGTCAGTAAAATGGTTATATTTGCACATTACAATCTGCACACAGGTTGCACATCATTTCCATTTTTAATGCATGAATTGCTCCTTGCTGTCTTCTGTAAACCCAGCAGCTTTCTTCCTCCCATCCCAACCTGTGATATTTATTTTTTATTCCCTAAGGTAAAGAAGAGCCATCTGAGGCTGCAATGATGTGTACACAGTTACCTGGGAATAAGTCCCACTGAATTTATCAGGATTTACCTCTGCATAGGATTGCCAATCCCCAGAAATGGTGGATCTTTTTAGTTACACATTTTTCTACTTTGTCACTTAATTGATCACTGATTAACTGGGTTTGGGTGAAAGCATGTGCCAAGGATATTGCCCTTTCAACCTCGTCTGCACTGAAAGATTTTGAAACAGAAGCATTCTATGGAAGAGGATTCAGTAACTTTCCTTACCAATTCGAACTCTCCAGGAGCAGGAACTTCTGAAATAAGTATAGAGAACTGGCTGTAGGGAGAGGGAAAAAACACATATGGAAAAAAAATCAAAGTTTTTAACTGGAGCAGACTTATAACATTGAAGCAGAAATACTATATACAATGAAGCCAACATACTTTTTTGTTTTAGGTTAAGATGGCATTACAGCATTTCATGGAATTGAAATGGAATTTAATTTAAAATGGAATTGATGGGCTTTACAAAGGCACATTTGAGGCATGATTTCAGACAAGCCTATAGGTTGCTTTGAAACACTAGCATTTTCCACCATTGCTACTGTTTGGATCAAATCCTGCACAGATATCAGTGGGAAGTTCACTTTTGAAAGTTTCAGCAACAGTCAGAAAGAAAGACTCATGCAAAGGCCTGTTCCAAGAACTGCAGCTAGTACAGCAAAGGAGTGCAGCATGGAATGCATACAGAACAGCCAGCCAGTAATGCATTACTACCAAGGCAACGCCTCAACCATTGAAAATCTGTGTTTCTCTCACCTTTTTGGTAGTCTCCATGCTGTGCGTGCACAATCTATCCTCGGAATGAACGCCAGCTCATACTGCACTGATGGGGGACGAACTTCCCTTGCAGCCAATCAATGAAATGCCATAATCCCACCCTTTTGTCGTCAGATGGCAGAGCAGAGCAAGAGAACAGACAAGTTCTTATTCCTTAGCATTCTGAATCTCCAAAAGGGAGAAGAAACTAGAATCATTCCACAAAAGAATTCTCCATAAAAGAAATGCCAGTTATGAAAACAGTGAGTTGGAGTTGTCTTCTGTCGGAAGGCTCCAATCATGGAAGGTGCCACTACCAGATGTTCAGGGTGAACCCTCTCCCCTGTGTAGCATTTCCAGGGGGCTGGAAGGCTGCTGTGTAGAGGCAGGGCAGGGAAGTCTGCCTCCACTAGCCTAGTTGCATGTGGCTTAATCTGGATGTAATTCAGTATTGATATTCAGAACTTTACTACATTCAACTTGATCCAGGGTTCAGAATATTTTGGCAAGGGCTGGAAAATAAATAGGATGAAAGCAGTTGTGATTAGACCACTCCTAAAAAAGCCAAACCTGGACCCAGGGTTGGTCAGCAACTACCATCCAGTAGTGAACTGGGAAAGGTGTTGGAGTGCGTGGTGGCTGGGCAGTTCCAAACATGCTTGGATGGAGCAGATTTTCTATATCCATTCAAATCAGGTTTCAGACCAGGGCTTGGGATGGAGACTGCCTTGGTTGCCCTGTATGATGACCTGTGCCAAGAGATACAGGGGGAGTGCAAACCTGTTGATTCTCCTGGACCTCTCAGTGGCTTTCAACACCATCGACCATGGTGTCTTTCTGGACAGGTTGGCTGGGATGGGAGCCAGGGGCACTGCTTTGCAGTGGTTTCAATCCTACCTGGCTGAGCATGTCCAGAAGGTGGTACTGGGGGATAGTTGCTCCATGACCGTTCCGCGGGGCTCTATTCTATCTCCCATGCTGTTCAACATTTACATGAAACTGCTGGAAGAGGTCACCAAGTTCAATTTGGATGCCAGGAAGTACTTACTGACAGTTAGGACCCTGAGGGTATGGAATGGGCTTCCACAGGAGGTGGTTGAGGCCCCATTGGTGAGGATGTTCAAGTATAGGCTAGACATGCACATGCTAGGCATGTCGTGAGCACAGCCAGCTGGAGCCAGGAGTCAGACTAGATGGCCCGGGAGGCCCCTTCTGACTCGCTCTGTTTCTATGTTTCAGGAGGTTCCAGGTGAGGTGGTCTCTGTCCTAAACAGGTACCTGAATATTTTCTCTGAATACTTCCCAGGACAGTCTTAAATTGTTATTTATTTTTGACAGCTGTTGTTCTGCTTACTTGGTATAACTGTAATATTTCTTTTTAAAATTTTTATTGTGATTTTTATTGCTTTTATTGTTGTTTTTAGCATTTTGCTGTAAGCCACCTAAAGAATCCACCTGGATTGGTGGGCAGCATACAAATGTTTTAAATAAATAAATAAATAAATAAATATGAAACCAGTTGCATCATACCAAAGGTCTAGCTAGTCCTGAATCCTGTTTCCAGCAGGGATCATGCAAACATACATTTACAGGAAGTCCAAAAGCAGGACATGGGGCAGAAGCCCTCTCCTGCAGTAGTTCACCTGCAGACAGTGTTCAGAGACAGCTTCTGACCCTGAAGGCTGAATGCAACTGACACAATTAGGCATTGATAACCTTGTCAGTCCACCTCAAGGTAGCTGATTCCATCGCTTAACCATGCAGTGCTGCGTGAAATATTTGCTTTCCTCCCAAAGAGAACGAGGAGGCTTTAGATCAGGGGTGTGAAACCTCCTTCTAAAAAGAGATGGTGGAGCAGGGGCACAATGCTACTGGAAAAATGTAACATGTTCTCAAAACCCTGCTCCCTAACCCTGCACGGCCATAGCTAGGCCAATCTTCCCCACCTCCAGGCAGCTGAGGATACTGGGGAGTTGAGTAAGGTTGGGGTGTGGGGAGGGTACGCTGCGTGCACTCGGTTTAATAAAGCTGAATTCGGAAGGTTTGTTTCTTCCAGTGCTTCACTGATTGTCCAGATGGCGAGATTGCAGCCTTTACCTCTAATCTCCAGTTACTCGGTTGCAGGGGAAAGTTGTCATGACCGAAAGGACTTAAAAATAGGCATTAAACTTACCTCCCGTCTGAACAGCGGCTGTAGCTACCACTTAAGCCGCAAACCGGAGCCGGGACGTAAAGGGCAAGGGGAAGGGAAGTACTCACAAAAACAATACGAAAAAGCAAAAGAAATGGCGTGTTCTTTTGTACGTAGAGCTACAGAGAAAGCTTTTTCTTCTTTGCATTGTTATCATAGCAAATACCTTCGCTAATGAGGCACACATCTTGCACGCTTCCTCTTTGTTACGCGTCTCCCTCTCTGAAGTGCAGAACTGCACTCCTTTTACTGGTAAACATGGGCCATATTTTAACACTTCGTCTAGATCGGATCTGACTAGTCACAAGACTTCGCTTGAGAGGGAACTCTTTTCCGTGCATTTTGGGGGTTCTGGGAACTGTAGTTTCAGCCCTTTATTTCATCCTTAAACCTTTGCTTATAAGTTGTCATGGGAAATATCAAGTAGGTGACAGTATCATTTTCATGAATCTATCACTTAATCTATTCCATTCCTTAGGATCAAGGTGACAAGCAAGAATTAAAATGGAAAACTTGCTCAAAGCAGATCTATAACTGCAATGCAAATTTGGCAGTGGTAGCTGTGTCCAGCTTTGCTAAGTAATTCAGATCTTTTTGCATAGATTCATAGAATAGTAGAGCCAGAAGGGGCCAAGAAGGCCATTGGGTCCAACCTCTGCTGGTGCAGGATGCCAAGTCACACCATCCCATTCAGATGACTGTCCAGTTTTACCTTGAATGTCTCTAGTGTGGCAGAGCCCACGACCTCTCTTGGCAACTGGTTCCACTATCATATTGCTCTGACGGGAAGTTTTTCCTCGGGTCTAGCCTGAATCTGTTATGCTGCAACTTAAGTTTGTGGTTCCATGTCCTATCCCCAGGGCTGAATGAGAAGAGGCCTTTTCTTCTTTGTGACTGCCTTTGCAGAGTGCTATCATACCCCTGGTAGTCTTCTCTTCTTGGGGCTAAACATACCCAGCTCTCTTGGCCTCTCATCACAGGGCTTAGTTTCCAGACCCTGGATCAGCTTCATTACCCACCTCTGAACCCTTTCTGGGAACCCTTTCTAGTTTTCTTGCATCTTTTAAAAACCTGGGTTCCCAGAACTGAACACAGTATTTCAATGAGGTCTGACAAGTGCTGAGATAAAGGGAACTAGTACCTCTCTTGTTCTGGAAGTGATGCTTCTATTTAGGCTTCCCAAAATAGTGTTTGCCCTTTTTTGCAGCTGCATCACATTGTTGACTCATACTTAGCTTTTTGTCTACAACAAATCCAAGGTGTTTTTCTTTTCCAGTGTTGCTGAGCCAAGTATTTCCCATCTTTGTATCGATGCATATGGTTTTCCCCCCTAGATGGAGAACTTGGTATTTTTCCCTGTTGAATTTCATTCTGTTGCCTTCAGTCCAACATTCTAGCTTGTCTAGGTTGTAACTGGTTAGTTTATATTGCAAGAGTTTGTTCAGTAAAAAAGTCACATCACATTTAACTATTCCAGGAGGCAGGTAGGGAAAGAGGAAGCCATCCATATGTCAAGAAGAGTTGTAACTACCTGACTTTATTCATTTATTTCTGATTTCTTATCTTTCTGTAATGCTTCTCAGCCAGGTCAGGCTCCAAAAGTGTTTTGCTGTGAAAGACTGAGAGCAGGAGCTCTGTGAATGAGAGGAATTTGAATAAATTTGAATAAATGAAGGCACAGTCCATAGGATTGTGACCCAAATTATATTTCTTCAGACAGGGTTGCTAACTCTAGTTTTAGGTATTGTCAACTGTTGTTATTTGCTGTCAGATAATCTTTAACTTATGACAACTATATGAATGGGAGCCCTCTCAAATGTGCTGACCTTCACAGCCCTGCTCCTCTCTTGTAATGTCAAGGCTGAAGTTTCCTTAATGTAGTCAATCCGTCACATACAGTATTTAGTCTTCCTCTTCTTTTTTGCCCTTGACTTTACCTAGCATGCCTGGCTTCTTCATAAACTATTGCCTTCTCATGATGTGCCCAAAGTACGACAGTCTCAGTCTTGTCATTTCTGTTTCTAAGGAAAGTTCGATCTAGAACCCACTTGTTCGTCTTTTTGTTGGTCCAGGATATTCGCACAGTGCTCCTCCAGCACCATGTTTTGAACTCATGTATTTTCTTCCTGTCAGCTTTCTTCACTGTCCAGCTTTCATATCCATATATTGTGATCAGAAATACAGTAGTATGGATGATCATGGCCTTAGTCTTGAATGAAACATCCTTACACTTGATGATCTTTTCTAGTTCCTTCATTGCTGCCCTTCCAAGACTCAGTTTTCTTTGAATCTCTTGGCTCCTTTATCTCTTTGAATAGATGACTGAGTCAAAGTATGTAAAATCTTTCACAATTTCAGTTTCTCCATTGGTGACAGTACAGTCTTGCAATTCTTCTGTAGCTGTGATTTTTGGTTTCTTACTGTTCAGCTGTAGTCCTACTTTCGCCCTGTCTTCTTTCACTTTAACCAAGAATCATTGCACTTCATTGCTGCTTTCTACTAGTAATATGGCATCATCTGCAAATCCTAAATTATTGACGTGTCTCCTGCCAATGTTTACTCCATCCTCTGATCCTAATCCAGCTTTCTTTATGATATGTTCTACATACAGATTGAACAGATGGGGAGATCATATACTCCTTGCCCCAATGCCTTTGCCTATAGGAAACTTTCCTGTTTCTCCACATTCTGTCCGAAGTGTAGCTTCTTGTCTATGATACAGGATATGCATCAGACAATCAAGTGCTGAGCCATTCCTGTTTCTTTCAGAACCATTCATAGCTTCTTGTGATCCACAGAATCAAAGGCCTTGCTGTAGCCTATAAAGCATAGAGTGATATTCTTCTGAAATATTTATGTATAAATGTTAGAAAGTCTGAAAGATGCAGGGGTGATCCTTTAGTCAATTCTAACTGTTCTTGAAGGGGTAGCTCAAGGATACAATGTTTCAACAATGTCTGTCTGTCTGTCTGTCTGTCAGAAACCAGTTGGTACTGAGAAGGCTTTTCTATCTGGATCAGCAACAACACAAAAGCCACCCATGGAGAATAGGAAAGCAAACAGAAGATTCAAAAGACTACACCAAAAGAAAAGGGAATCATTTATGCAGCCTTTGTATATGCTCTAGTAAGTGGTTTGAAAGAATTTTTACTAAGGTACAATGTTGAGAGAGAGAGAGAACATTTCTGGGTAAGAAATTTCCATATAATGACAACTATTGTGCTTTGTGCATTCTGGGTATCTTGAGGGAGTTTTAGGTGATGGATAATGGAGTGGTTTCCTATTAAATATATTTAACCCAAATGAGTCCTTATTTTATTCATTGTTGTATTTATTGCATTTTTATAATGCCCAGTAGCCCAATGGCTATTACCCATATGCTAGTACACAAGATCTTAGCAGGGCTATTGACATCTTCCATATAACTTATGGAATATTTTATTATTTATTATTAGATGTATATCCTATTTTTATCTTATAACGAACGCAAAGTGGCTTACATCATTTTTTCTTCATGCTCTCAATCTTATCCCCACAACAACCCTTTGAAGTAGGTTGGGCTGAGAGTCAATGACTGGCTCAAAGTCACCCAGCTTCATGGCTGAGTGAGGACTAGAAACCTATTTCCTGAGTCCCAATCCTGTGCTTTTAACCTCTCTCAAAAAAACATACAAAAATGTTGCTGGCCCACTTTTTGATCTCAAAGCGCTTACAGATGCAGAGAACCTGTACTGAAGCAGCAAGGGAAAAGGTGCTTGCACCATTTGTGCTTTGGGTAAGTAAATGAACACAGGGAATTTTGGAGGTGATGGGCTTTTGTGAATGTGCCATGACAGAAACAAAAGCACTCTGCACGCACATATGCGTGTTTAGAAGGAAAACACTAAGATTCCCAGCACCCCCCAGCCATGTATGCTGCCCAGAGCATGTTGGGAACTGTATGATTTTTTTTTTCGGTCTAGACATGCACTGGGTTGTTCCCAAGAATGAAACCCTAAGCACAGTTAAGAAGGAACAAGCCTGGGACTTATTTCGAGCTAATAAACATTCCTGGGAAATTGTATTGCATCGCTCCTTTCAGGCGCGCATAACTGATCTGAAAGACTACATTTCCCACTATGCCGAGGATGCCTCCTCGTTTCCCCCTCCCCAACACGCAGGCACCCTCTGACGTATTATGGAACACCGAACTCCCTTGCCCATCGAGCCTTGAGAGCACGGACTCGGCTTCCCGCGGTGCATTGCGCACAGGCTAGGGTTGCCGGCAGGAGGCGCCTACCGTCAGGGCGCGAATGCCACTGGCGGCGAACAAGAACGGCCAGGCCGTGCTGGGCCTGCGGCAGCGAAGAACTCTCAGGCTGGCGAGCGGTCCCGTGTTGCCCCGCTCCGCTCACCACAGTCCTGGCTGGTTCTGGAGCCCACTCGGCCTCGTTTCTTTCCTAAGCTTTGCAACCCGCTTCTATCGCCTGCGAGAGCCGCCGCACATCTGGTAGGGGGGCTGTGGTGGAGGGGGCGGGACTTAGCTTGGGGGCGGGGCATGTCGGTCAATGTCGGTATGGACTTAGAGCCCGTGTCACCTGATGCATTAAGACTTCTCAGGTATATGCTAATTTTTAAAGCTGTCTCGGGAGGGTTTTCGTTTTGCCCTTTAGACGTGTAGAAGGGAATATTCCATTTTTATCCCACCTTTCCTTCACATACATTAGTCTTTTATCATCACAACAGCACTGTGAGGTAAGTTAAGCTGAGAGTGACTGCCCCAAAATCATCCAGTGAATTTTATGACTGAGGACAGTTTTGAACTTATGTCTCCCTAGTATTAATATATTACTTAATGCACACGTTGGTAGAGTATATGTATACCTATCCGTGCAAATACACATGTGCATAGGTCTGTAGTACCTAAATACACAATGTAGTTAAAGGGCCTGAACTCCATGAATCTGTTCTTTCTGAGCAACGTTCAGTTTGTGAATTCATAGTAATATTTCTGCTACAAGGATATTCTGCAAGATCCTTTCCCCATTTTTTCTCATCTAGCCAATAATATAGCCAGATAACAAGAGAACACTATCTGCCTAACTTTGCTCATGTGCTCCTGGTTAAACTGGCAACATCATTATAAATAGATAGATAGGATGAATTGGAGCCAGTATAGCATAACAACAATTGTAACTTGAATGCAAGTCTCAAATTGTTGGGATTATTTGGTATGTTGGAAAACTTCCTCATTTTCCCAGTCAAGCCTATTTCATTAGAATTTTTAGGAGATCACACAAAAATGTAAAAGATAGACGAAATGAACATCTGTTTACTTAGGCATCCGATCTGCATGGATGTGTCTAATCCATATCCATGTGTTACCATCTTGTTCTCTATTCTGCTTCCCAGTGATTGGATGGGTTGTGAGCTGCCAGAAAGTGAAGTGAAGTTTGATAATTGGGTGTGTTTTTTGAGGAGATATAGCTATACAGTATGTTGTGGGGTATGCATGTACAAGTTCAACTTAGGAAACTACGAGTGGAAGGTAGTTTTGTATTTTAAGTAAACACGTCCTCTGAGGCAGGTTGAGACCCTTTTCTTGCCATCATAGCATGTTAACTGATGTGGCCACTTTCTGCAACCTATTTCATCACTTATCACTTCTAGCCTGATCCAAACCATGTTTGCTCAGAAATGTTTCACTGTAAGAAACATTTTTTTATGTAGAGATATGCTTGTCTAAGCATGGGCATAGGTGTTCTTAGCTTTATCTGAGATTGGGCAAAGTGGAGATGAATCTCTTGTAATAGATGCAGTGCTAATCAGTTTTCATCCTCTCATGCTTGTGTGTACCTTGATAAGAATAGACTGCAAACCATGGCTAGGTTCATACAACACAGCAGACCACCCCCTGCTAATTTCATGGTGCTTTGATTTTTACCCAAACTTACCATTCAGATGATCACATGACTACCTATGCAGCACAGTTTTTTTGCTTCTCACTCTGTCCTGTCAACCTTGTCATGCATCCTGGCAGCCCCTGTGAGCGAAATCCCTGCCCTTTCCCTATTTTGCACATGGACTGCAGCAGCCTTCTCCCAGTTGGTCCGCTGTGATTTTCCTGAATGTATCTGCATATCTGTGGCACTTGCCAGCCTCTCCATCCCTGCAGAGATGTTTATTAAATGAAAATAAACAGCTTCACCATGATTCTCCTCTTCTCCCTCTATGTATTTTTGCACAGTCACCTTGTTTCCCAAAGTAAACAGGTAGACAAACACATTGCTTGGCCAGTAAGAATAAGGTGCGCAATGACATGTCTGTTGCTACATAGGTGAAGGCAGTAGAAAGGCCAGAAGTGGCTATATTTGCAGCTGCTGTTGCCAGTAGACTCTGTGCAAAGCTCAGGGAACCAAGGAAGCAAGGTTCAATTTGGATGCCAGGAAGTACTTCCTGACAGTTAGGACCCCTAGGGTATGGAATGGGCTTCCACAGAAGAAGGTTGAAGCTCCATCAGTGAGCGTGTTCAAGAATAGGCTGGACATGCACATGGTAGACATGTCATGAGTGGAGCCGGCTGGAGCCAGGGGTCAGACTAAATGGCTTGGGAGGGCCCTTCTGACTTACTCTGTTTCTGTGTTTCTATGGTGTTTCCATACAAACAATGGTAAAATGGTGATCCCAGGTCCACTGAACTGGAAAAGCCACAGTGAAGTGTAGAAACCTTAGAACAGGCCACTGATACTCTTTGTTGCTTCAGAAACCCACCAGACAGGAACTCCAGAACTGGGTCTGGATGACACAACAAATCCACACCAGTAAGATTTCACCATGACTTTGTATGGGACAAACCTGCCCCATACCTATAAATGTTATTCTTTAGCAGCCTCTTATGGGTCTATACAGAATATTTTTTGTATTTGAATTTAGAAATGATGGATAGTTTTATAGTCTCAAGAAGTTCATTAAGCTGTGAAGTAAGCTACATTTCAGGCACCACTCCTCTTCCTCCTAACAGTGGTGTCAACTTCATAAATATATCCAAGATGAGTTTATATAGTTTAAATAAGCTTATGTTTGCAGTCCATTTTCAAGGAAATATATCTGAAATCTATGGGTTATGAGTATGCAAATCTGTTTAAAACTGAGGATTTGGACATTAGAGAACTTTACAGATATACTGCTTTATTGTTGTCTAAGGGTGTAATCCTATAATATATTTAGACATAAAAATGTCTTATGATTCCCTGCATTTCCCAGCAAGCAGGGGAAATGAGAAGTTTTTAACCACTCTCAATCCAGTAGGCATGGGTGTTATATTTATGAAGAGAGACCTCAATCAAAAAAGAAGCCTTCTGTATTACATTCTTGAATTATTTGTACATCTGCTTAGGGTTTATCACACTGAGCAACTGGAAGGGGCTGAGACCTAACCTAAAGGATAGTTATTTGTCTCTTTTTTCCTATTTCATAGTTGGGATGAAACACATTTTGGAAAGATGGGAAGCTATTACATTAACCGAACCTTTTTCTTTGATGTCCATCCACCTCTGGGAAAGGTAAAAAATTATCAATACTTATACATTTGGAATTCAATAAAATTGCTTGGCTGCAAAACACTTTCATCCTTGTACAATTCCATCTTTTGTAAGCAGTATTAACACTCCCATGGTCACAGCTTTGTAGCTGCTGTCGATAGTTAATTATCTTTTTGAATGCAAATTCAGACCATCTAAGTCAGTCCTATTGCAGCCTTATCGTGAGCAAATTCATTTTAGGTTTTGTAACTATTGCTACAAGTTAGCTTACATTAATGCATCTTAAGCTAAGAAATGTGTACATATGGAAAAATATTGGTGATCTAATTTTTCAAAAAGATTGCCATTAAATTGTGATTTTACGATAGAGGCTTTAAGTGATCTTAGTTTTAATATAAGAAATATTTGAGCAGAGCATTCTAGCTATTATGGCACAAATGGACCTATCTTCCAAGGTGGATAAATGGTCTGTGAAATGGTTAGCTAGGACAAAAGTTATTAGAAGAAAAATATTTTTTCTTTGTAGTGAAAAGAGGTAATAATATGGCCTTTACTCATTTCTCATACGAGCAAGTGAACTGAATGGTGCAACAGGGAAGAGCCAGGCTCCAGTGCAAGATATGTTGTGCACGTGTGGCGCACTTGTAGTTGAAGACCTGGCAAACACTGTATTGGAATGTCAGGTATATTCTAGTTGCAGGAAACATAATTTTTCCATTTCTTGGGTGCATGAGAAATTGGGTGCCTAAGGCTAAGCTGGTTTTTTTTCTAGTGCCTTAGAGGGTTGTGCTCCTTGCACACAAAGCATTCTGTTTATAAGGAAAAGAAGGGAAATTATTTGATTAAATGAGCTACATGATCGTTGCAAATTCTGTGAAGTTTTGTAGGATTTATAAAGTTTAATATGTATTTTAAAATTTTATGCTAGTTTTCTGTATGTATATAATTTTTGTTTCTAATTTGTGTTTATAGTATTTGTGTTTGATATGGTATGTGGAATAATTCAATACATTTGCTTTTGTGCCTGTCTTATCTTGAGCCTAAGAACCAAAGATCCATCAAACCAAGTATTTTTTGCACTGTGTCTAGCCAGATATCCTTGAGAAACTACAAGGAGAGCATCATCATGAGAGGTGTCCCTATTACTTATTCCTAGCATCTGATAATGAAGGCTGTATTGCTTCTAAACATGGAGGTTTCATTTTTGGCAGTCATGGCCAATAGCAACTGTTTGATTTGAACTCCAATAATATGACAGATGTTGTTATAAAGTGATATATTACTATAGTTACTAAAGTTCATTTTTGAATTAATACATAAACTAAAGATTATTCTTTAGGCAGGAAAAACTTACTAGTGTAAGCAGTAAATGAATGGCTTCTATGTATGTCCTTGTTGCAGTGCCTCTTGACAAAGATCATCTGTCTGCAGTTATTTGTGTCTCATAATCCATCCCAATACTGCAGTGCATTATACTTGAGGCTGCCTTTGAAGTCTTAGATATTGCATTTGGTTCCAAATATGCCATCCCTGCCTAGTACTGGAGGAAGGAATCATCAGCTATACTGACTCCTTTTCCAGTTCTATGCATGATTCAAAGTGCTTTAAAGCTTTATTACTTGGATCTAAAGAATGAGCTTTTTCTGGATGAACCTACATTAACATTCCACAAAGACCCTTCTCTGGCTCCCCCCTAGCATCAGGGAACCTTTTTATCTTTGGATCTTTGTCTCCAGAGAGACTGGGCTGGTGCCAAGACTATTTTCTTTTTAGCACCAAGTGGAAACCTTTTTATTTACTTAGTTCTACTGGATTGTTTGTTTGAATGATGGAATTTGTATTTGTGTACTGTTAGTCATGAAGCATTTATTCAAAGTGCAGGTACTAAAAGATATAAGCAGCTTTGCTTGAATAGTAGCAGCTCCCATTTGAGGTGAGTGCAGCCTCCCTTTGAGCTTGTCTGAACTCAAATTAGGCTTGCGATTTGTCCTCACAAGTATTTTCATGTGTGTGTGTGGGTGGGGGATGCTTTCCTGGGTCACATAGAGCTGAAAGCAACAATCTTACAAATATGTTCAACTTTTTAAAATGCCCAGATGATTGGTGTGTGCACACACATGCATGCACCTGTTCAAATGACAAATTGTCAAGTCTGAAGATAAATGATGTCTTTTTCTTGAGGCTGATTTGATCTGAAAAACTTATGCATTTGTTTCTGCTTGCTTAAGATTCTTCTTCTTCTTCCTTTCCTAGATGTTAATAGGTCTTGCTGGATACCTGAGTGGCTACAATGGTACGTTTCCTTTCCAGAAGCCGGGGGACAAATATGAGCAACATAACTACATAGGAATGAGAGGGGTAAGAATATATGGACCTTCCTAAACAATGAAAGCCCCTTTTTAAAGAAGATGTAGGGCTTTCCTCTCCTCTTTGCTTCTAATACATACTGGGTTGCATCCATAACTTGAGAATATACAGATCCTTCCATAGGTGGAAGGCTTCTGATCTTGCTGGCAAAATGGGGGAGGAGTTAAAATTTTAGCCAAAATTTAAAATACATAAAATTGGTATGAATGAGTGGGGAGGGGCATGAAAAGACCATTTGGAATGCAGCTGTCTAATGAATGCAATAGTTTAGTTAACCTTGCATTGCTGAGGGAATCGGTCCCCTTTTGACAAAGCTTCCTGTATCACACCTGCTTTTTCAGTGCTTAGCTGTACACTGTGATTTCTGCTCTGTGCTTTCAGTGGTCTCGCCACCAGCTGTTCTGACCTGTAAGCAGTTGGACAGTTGGGGGAGACTTTTGTGTGTGAGCATTGCTATGGCTGGTGAAGTGGTGGGCATGCGTGAGGTAAACAAAGGAGAAAAAGGATTAAGAAGTAGTATGTGATGAAGTATGATGAAAGCTGGGTTGTGTGGAGTTTGAAATCAAATTGCCCTTGGTGAGGGTGTTGAGAATAAGAGGAAAGGATACAGGTGGGAATCTAATTGTTTCTAGTGTATAGGATGATGTGAATTGGGCTGTGGGGCTATATCATCTCTTCATTAGGTTAGCAGAGAGAGTAGGAGTGAAGATGGCTGTGGGGAGGATAAATCAGATTTGTGCATCAGTTTTGGATATGGCTAAATAGCAGCCTTTCAGATGTGTGGAAGTATAACTCCTAGCATCCCAAGTCAGCCTGGCTGGTTGGTGCATGCTGGAAGTTGTAGTCAGCATAATATCAGATTGGAAAGGAATTTATTTGACAGGAGTGGTCAAACTGAGGCTCAGGAGGCACATGTGACTCTTTGCGTTTTATTTCACAGTCCACTGCTTGTCGCCTACAGGTGCCTGCTTGCCACTCACTGCCTGTGGGCACCCATTAATTAATTAAATTTCCAACCCACCCCACTAGCCACATTGCTCCCTGGGTAGGTTGCAACCGTACATAGAAACATAGAAACAGAGCGAGTCAGAAGGGGTCTCTCGGGCCGTCTCGTCTGGCCCCCGGCTCTAGCTGGCTCCGCGCACGACATGCCGACCATGTGCATGTCCAGCCTATCTTTGAACACCCGCACCGATGGGGCCTCAAAACCTCTCATTGTAAAACCATACCAGACAGTATAAAACAGTGCAATAAAAACACCTCAAACATTAAAATGACAGTAAAACAACAATAAAAATGCACCCACCAAAACTCCAAATTGCATAAAAGGCATATCCTCTTCTGTTAAAATAACATTAAAAGCCAGCTTAACAATTAGAATACTGGCAGAATAAAAGTTTTACCTGGCCAAAAAGAATGCAAAGATGGCACCAGGTGAGCCTCTCTGGGGAACTAGTTCTATAGTTGGGGTGCCACTTTCGTCTTGCCACTCACTTGCCACTGCCTGATGTTGCCGCCTACAGACACCTGCTTGCTACTTGCTGCTGCTGCCCGCTTGCAGCTCTCAAACAGCTGACATTGACTCTTTATGACTTTCACAGAGCAAGTCTGGCCATCCCAGTTATATAACTTATGAAGGTGCTTTCACTTTTTCACCCTTCGCTTAAGAATATTTTGTAGACTGGCTTGTGCATTACATAGTTACTTTTTTCTGCTTTGTATGAGTGTGTAACAGAGAATGCAAGAAAATTGCAAAGGACATATGGATTGCCATCAACTTGTAAAGAGTGTTTCTCCCCTCTCTATTTAGTTCTGTGCATTCCTTGGTTCGTGTCTGGTCCCCTTCTCTTACCTCACAGTGCTGGAACTGTCCAAATCACTGCCTGCAGCAATGCTCACAGCTGCCATTCTGATTTTTGGTAAGAGTCTCTCTCTCTCTCTCTACACACACACACACACACACACACAATATTGTCCTGCACTGTCAGTGTCTTATTTGCAAAGAAACAAAGCATCTTTTAAGAAAACAGTCTTTATCTTTTAGATTGAATTGTCTGAGGTGTCCTGAATTGTCTGGAAAGAAGAGATGGCAGGAAAAAAATGAACAAGGAGCATCTCTCAGAAATGAAGTTTTAGATGTACAAAGGAAGGGGCAGAACGTGGATAAATTAAAGTAGCCATAAGAAATGGCAAGGACCTATATTTGAGGAGAGGAGCAAATGATGCAAGATTGCATATCTGGGTGTTAAGCCAGAAAAGTATGCAAGAGAAATAGTATGGTTACCATACTTGTTGCATCCTATGTTTAAACTTAGCTTTAAATTTCGAGAGGGAATCCATGAGGAAATACATACCTTTGTAGAAATGCAGTATATTTGAAAGGCAGTTTGAAATTGCATTAGGTGTGTGTGCAAGTGAGTTCAGTTAGTACTGGCATGCAAGCAGCAATTGCAGCGCATTATATAACAATATATGTAATCATCACCCCCAATAAGTCATTGATGGGTACTGATTCTGGGCACAATTGAAGCTTCTGTGTGGGAGTCAAGTTTGAAGTGTGATTTGTCCAAGTCATTTCAGTTAATGTGGTGATTCAAGCTTTTTGCTTTAGAGTCACAGGAGACTTCTAAACCAGGGCTGGGCAACTTGTTGCCCTCCAGTTGCTTTGGCTTACACCTCCCACCATCTCTCTCCACTGACTCTGTTGGCTAGAGCTGATGAGAACTGTAAGTCAAAACATCTGGAGTGGTCTCCCTTGCCTTTCCATGTGCTCAAAGAATTTAGCCATTAAGACCAGTCTTTAAGAAGGTCATTAATGTTTTTATCCTTGTAGGTTGACTCATTCTGATGTCCTCTTATTTCCTGGATTTAATATGATGATGCTTGACTAAATGTTGAAACAACTGCTTGACTGGGTTTATTTTGGAATGCATTCTGATATGGCCTCTTATTTTTCAGACACTGGCTGCATTACTCTCTCTCAGTACATTCTACTGGACCCTATTCTGATGTTTTTTCTCATGGGAGCTGTACTCAGTATGGTCAAGTATAATTCCTGTGCGAGCAGGTAAGATGGCAGTAGTTGATTGTATCATGATTGGAACATGTGTCTCTTCATTCCTGTGCTGGAAGGTTAAACTGGTATTTAAAAAAAATAGCCAACATAGCTTTACGGAGCCTTCAGGACAGTTTACAGTACTATTGTGCATAGAAATAAAATCCATCATTAAAACTGAAAAACCCAAAGTGCATAATATCTCACATGTAAACCAACAGTTAAAAGGCAAACATGTCAAATGATAGAATACATAAGGATTCCTAAGAAGAACTGTTGAATGGCACAGTACTTGATTAGAAGAAAACTCATGCTGTATAAGACCTTACACTTATCTAACCACATTTCTGTTCTCACAGTGACCATTGGAAGCCCGTAAGCAGAACATAAGTGCAACAGCATCTTTCCATTCTAAAGTGCAGAGATTAGCAACTTGACAGTAGATGAATAAGCCTGAAAGTATTTTAGATTCATTTGGCTTCCTTACATTTGGAGAGAAATTTCTGCTTCCTTGGCCAGCATATTCTTTGCTACTTTCTTAGGGGTTACTCAAGTCTCAACATAGTGTGATAAGGCTCAGATATTTTTACCAAATCAATTTGCTTTTGAAATCCTTAAGAGGGCACATCTTCCTCAAAGAAGAAGTCCACTGTCTAGATTAGCTCTCCTTGAAACGGTTTCTTTTAGTTTTTTTGGAGTACAACTACCATCTTATCATCCCTGACAATAGGCCTTGCTGGCTGGGAATGATGGAAATGGAAACTGAAAGATTTGTAGGGATTCTGGGTTCCAGAAAGTTGTTCTTGCCATCGTTTGTTTTAAAGTGATAGCAGTTGTTCCTCCATATTTCCTGAAGGATCACTAATACATGACCCATTACCCAGGGTATTTTTTTTTGTCAGAGATACATTAGGTGTGTAGCAGGAGCAACTGTTTTGAGTTGGTGGGCACTTTTGGAGTTTTGATAATGTTGTTGGTGCTCTCTTTAAATCATTATGATTGGGTGGGACTTGCCCATTCATAAGCTGGCTGCCATGTGGGACATTCATTACTTAGAAGTCAAACTAGAAAATGAAGTAACTTGTCCAGGTGCCTAAGTACAAGGCACAGATGAGGCTGAGCTCTGAAGCACAAACCACTCTTTTGAACCCAAATAAAGGTGGTACATGAAGGCACAGCTTTGTTTTGCAACATGGTAGCCTCTCAATTAAAAGGGATTAATTTTAAGAATTTTAAAAAACAAAATACAAATTAGAGGGGGCACCAAGAGCACATGCTTGCCCTCAGGCACCACATGGGAATCTCCAGGTATAATGCATTCTGCTTTAGGTTGAATCTATTAGAGTCCCTTTCAAAAGTTTATGGTTTCAATGTGTTGCAGGTCCTTTTCTGCCCCCTGGTGGTTTTGGCTGTGTCTGACAGGGATAAACCTTGCTGGCGCAATTGGGGTCAAATTTGTTGGTCTTTTTGTGGTCCTCCTAGTTGGAGTGAACACTCTCTGTGATCTTTGGGAACTGCTGGGAGATCTCAGTCTCTCACTGGTGAGTTTCTATAACTTTGATAAGCTATTTGTGTTTGTTGGAAGAAAAACAATGAAAGTATTCTATCTTCTATCTATTAATGGTTTTTAAACGGTGATTATGGCCATATAGTCTTGACAAGTACTTAAAAGCTGTCTCTAAAGTGATAAGCTTTCATCTGCTTTCCGTTGTAAAGTGGTGCTAAAGCTAATGCAAGGTGGTGGTTGCCCCATGAGTAGTGATGAGAAAGGCACAACCCCCCCCCCCCCCCCAGAAAATTAGGAAGAAAAATGTTCCCTCCATTTTTTTTTTCTGGTAGTTTCCTCCCCAGATATATAAGGGAAAAACCTTGTTTTTTTTCCTTAACTTGTTTTTAATTTTTTCCTTTTTAATTTTTCCCCCACAAATCTTTGTGAAAAAAATGAATTGCTTTTTTTATCTTCAGAAAAGTACCTAAATCATCAGATGCACTTATCACTGAAAACATAAATGAAGACTTCCTCTGTACCATTTTTTCTGTCCCTCCTGCAGAAAAATGGGCCGCATCATTTTCATTTTGCTTTAGACTCTGTACCTTTATATAATGCATCTAGAAATTAAGCATATACTGAGCAGCCAGAAAATTGAGCACCTAGAAATTAAGCATATACTGTAGAGTTCTGAAAATGAATTTTGTATGAGCAAATACCTCTGCTAAGTGGCCTTTGATATGATATATTCAAACCTGCAGTTGCAGTGGTTTTGACCTTCAGTACAGTGATACAGTTCATAGGCTACAAATTGGATTTTGTCATACAATGCTTCATTGTGGGTACTGTTTTAGAACTGTGTCTGATGGGTTTTGCAGCATCTGCAGGCTGAGCTACTTTTCTGAAGATGAGGAATATCACAATTTGTTTGTTTCACAAAGAAGATTCCCCTCTCTGCTTCAAATATCAAGTAACTTGTTGAGGTAGCTGTGGATTTAAGAAGGGGCTAAAATTATTTTAGCCAGTATTCAGGAGACATCAAATATGATGCATACTGACCTTGTCAATAAATGTTATTAAATCTGTACCTCATTAACACAAGGAAAAGGGCTTTGTAGTCTGCCACAATGCTGTTTATTCAAGCCTGTCTTAGAGGTGCTATCACTCTTCTGTGGTTGACTTTTCAGACTGTTTGAAGTTTCAAAATCCAATTTATTCCACATATTATTTCTGTTCCTTTTATATTTGATAAACATGGCTTTCTTCACTCTGTCGTGAGATTTGTTTTTCCTGATTAAAGTAAATGTAGTGCAAAGATGTGGAGTCACAGCTTCCGAAAAGAGCTGCTTCTAATGTCAAAGTCAGTTAATTGCATTCGAACTAGAATAAATCCATCTTCCTTAAATCTCCTGTCTGCAGATGGCTGCAAAGTAATTTCAGTTGTACTATTGCCAGCAAAGCTTCTTGACTTTTATAATATGCAAGGAAATACACTAACTCCCGAAGAGAAATTGTTGGAATAACTAACTAATTACCAACCTTCATTGATTACATTAAAAAATACATTATAGAAATTATTGCATTTCTGTGTTGTATGTGCTCGTGCAGAATTTGCCTTGATAACACTCTTCCTTAAAAGTTGCTGCACCTGTTCTGAATTGTTTGCTGCAGGTTACCATAGGGAAGCACTTCCTGGCTCGTGTACTCTGCCTCATTCTGCTGCCACTTGCCCTCTACACAGCCATGTTTGCTGTTCATTTTGCAGTGTTAAATAAAAGGTATTTCTTCCCTTATTCTGCTCAGAAAGGATATTTGATTTGGGAAACTCTTGCATCTTATTTGTTAAGATTATTTATTTATTACACTTTTATTCTGTCCAGTAGCCCAAAGACTCTCTGGGTAGTTAGCAAGATCCAAGAACATAAGACAAACACACTACAACAAAAGCAAGTCAATGACATCACTGAAACAACCAATAAACAGCAAGTTCACCATCACCATATCAGGTTATAAACCGCAGCACAGTTAAACAATCCAATAAGGCCAACGCTTACAACACTGTCTTAATTCAAACATCATACCAAACTGTGATTCAGGAAACTTTAAAGTGTAATGTTTGAAATGAGTAACTTGATTGGCAATTGGCCAGGGAACCAGAATTTATTCTTGTAATACATTGATGTTTTCTTATTTATGTTGTTATTACTATATTATTATATTCTGCCCAGACAGCCATTCCAACTAAGGGGTGGGATAGCTTCTAATAGATAGATAGATAGATAGATAGATAGATAGATAGATAGATAGCCAGCGAGTATTTGAAGTAGATGCAACTTGTGCTTACTGCTAATTATGGCTGGGTACAGTACAGCTCTGCAAGATGAAAACAGACAGCAGCTCTAAACCATGCTAAGGTTTGCTATGTCTGAATGGCACCATAGTTCCAATAGTTACCGTTTTAAAGGCAAAGCATTGTTGCAGCTGGTTTAGGGACATCTATTTCAAGATGTTGTTCCCAGCTCAGTATAGTTAGGTTCCAGTAAATGAGTTAGTGACAGTCCCCATTAATTTCTTACCTTCAGACATGAAATTTTTCATCAATTAAAGGCATTTGATTAGCCTTGACATTTACCTTAAATGTCAGACAGGATTCTGTCATGACTTTGTTTTGAACAATTGCCCACCTGCTGAGGTAAATTGCCCTTTCCTAATAAATAATTCAAACAAGAATAAAATTTGGTTAGCTTATAAAATTAGGTACCACACTTTAAAAATAAGTTTCAAGTAGTGTTATTGGTCAAGGCTCTAGAAATTTATTGGTCAGTTTTCTGTTACATATGGCTGATATCCAAACATGTTAAGAACTGCCGGAATTATACAGCATTCTCGTTTATTGCCTAGACCTGCTCATCATGCCAAAAGTAGCCCCTTAAGGGAGCACTCCTACAGTCCCCTAGACGGCATGTGAGGGGTCTTTGGCTAGTTCAGATTCCCTGCTCTGAAGTGACTCAGCATTCCTAGCCTAGCTTTGGAACTGGACCTCCAGTCTCCCTCCCCTTCTGCCTTGCAGCTGGCATGGAAAGGACTGTACCAGCTGCCTTTATAAGGTGGGGAATGCAAACTTGGAGAGGGGTAAAAAGGGGTGTCTTGGTGGGTGAGGTGGGGAGAAGACTGGAAAGGTCTTTCCAGCCTCCTCCTTTCCCACTTTGAAACACTCTTGCTAGATGGACAACAAAGTTTGTCTAGCAAAAAACAGGATGAAGGTATGGGGAGGTACAGTTTCCCTCCATCACTCCTTCTGCCCTGCACATGATGAGCATATGGGCTCATGTTCAGGTTCTTACGATCTTTGTAATAGGATTGCGCCTTCTGCTTGTTAATGAAATAAAGCGACTTCCTTAATTTTATCGTAAGATTCTAATTTTTCAAATGTCAGAATACAAGCTTGAGGTATTTTGTAGGAAAAAATCGAGCAAAGGTTTGAGTACATCTTACTGAAAATGGCTTTTGCCAGGACTATTTGCTTGTATTGTAGATGGGCACAATTGACCAGTTGGTTGATGTAAATTCAAAGGCTGCTGAAGGTTGCCCAGGTGACAGCCAAACAATCCAGCTCCTTCTAGGCATATAAGTTAATTGAGAACATTCTACCACTGTGTTCCTGTGTGTTGCCTTCTATGTGTTTTCCTTCCTATTTGGAAATAAACCTCTCTATTTGTCTTAATACAGACATAATTTGCATGCATTTTGTTCTTTCTCAGTGGGCCTGGTGATGGCTTTTTCAGCTCTGGATTTCAGTCCCGGCTGATTGGGAACAACCTTCATAATGTATCTGTTCCAGAGTGTGAGTATCTAGATGTTTGGGAGAACAGGTGCTTTGGTAAGCACTAGAACCTTGCATCCAAGCAACCAAAACAATATTAAAGAATATCTCAGAGAATGAAAACTAAAAGTTTCACCATACATCTTCTGGCCCTTCAACATGTTTAAAATTATTTTTTAATGTTGATCTTTGTTACTGTTGGATTGTTGCTGAGGAGTGCAGAACTGAGCATAAGTGTAATGGAGGCATATATAATAGTTGTAGATATGATCTGATACCAAATAGAAAAGTGAGTGGGAATGGGAGAAGGATTCTGAGGGTTTAAAATGTATCATTTTACATTAAAATAATACATTTTAATTATACATTTCTAATATTGCTTGAAAATTGGTTCCATCCTAAGGACCATCCTGAAGTAAAACTACTATACCAGCAGGCTTGGTTTGAAACCATGTGTGACCATGATTCACTAGTATCAAACTAGTAGCCTCCCAACTTGTGCTGCTATGCAGTATTTATTTATTTATTTATTTATTTATTTATTTATTTAAACAATTTCTATGCCCCTCGGGGCGGCTTACAACATAAATTGTAGGAAGAGAGACTGATTGAGGGTCTCTTTTCAGGAGGTTGTTACTAACAGTATTATGCTTTCTGAACCTTCTTTTCAAGATCTGGTCACAGGAAAGATACGTGGCTGTTTAACTTGGTGCAACTTGGAGTTCTCATCTTGCAGCACAGTTAGCACAGTGCTACCAGAATGGGGATGCCTTCTGTATCCAGGTGGTGGAGATGGGAGTGCAGAGAAGTAGTGATGCATAAGCGCTTCACCTCTTCCACTTTAATCTATGAAATGAGGATGCACAGTCAGAATGTTTCTTCTGTAGCCATTTCATTCTTTCTTACAGCAGGAAGAAAAAGCAAAGCATCCTAAATGAATGGGGAACATGTGCTTTGAAATCTGCAGAAACCAATAGGAACAATCGGGGGTAGGGGCAATGTGTGGGTTTTTGGCTGTAACTCTTAAAACACATAGCATTGTTTCTAATGAATGGAGAGGCATACATTTTAAAATGCTGTTACTACTTGAACCCTAAAGGACTGGGTAGATGAACCCAGCTTTGCACAGGTTGGAATACCCTTAGTTTGACACAGTGAAGCTTTCAAGTAAACTTACATAGCTGTCAGAGTTGAACATGGTGTACTGTCTCTTTCTGCGTGAAGCCATGCCCGCTGGCACCTTTCAGCATGGCCCATAGTGTGGTGCACCCCATAATCCCCTGAGGGAGTGGGCTGTCCACTCCATGCCTCTGGGTTAGGCAGACTGTCCCATAGCAGTGAGGAGAGGGCAGCAGTATAACTTTATCCCTTGGACTAATTTATTCCTGCCTAAAATTGTATCAGCTGAAGAGCTATGCATGGACTAGTAAAGCCTGCAACCTAAAAATCCATGTTTTAAAAACCATATAACCCCCAGATGCACATTCCTTGGATCCCTTTAGTATGTATGTCAAATATTTGGTGTCCAGATTTCACACTGTTGATGAGATGACACTCATACATCCTCTTTTATTATTATAAACTCAGTCAGTGGTTCTTGAGTTCTTCACCTCTTTGAATCTCCACCTAATTTTTAAAGTTTGGATTTAGTAGCTTAGAACAAAAGTGCAGAACTTCTGCCCTTCCAGCCTAACCTGGGCACCCTTTCTGCTGATGTGCAGTAGCAGTGGAACACATGATGTTACCTCTGATTTCAAAACACAGATAGCAGTGAGGATGCCAAGTGGTGGAGGTATCCCTGATCTTTGGCATAGCAGTGGGCATGAAAGGTGGGGCGGTTTGGGACTCGCCCACATGGAGGGAAAAGCAACCACTTATTACAAGTCCCAAATACCAGTGCCAACAAAGAAAAAAAAGGTGACTGGTGGGGCCACACCACCTAATGTCATCCAACCCACAGGGTAGGGGGCAGTCCACCTAAAACAGTTCTGTACCCCTGGCTTAGAAGTAGAATCAGCATTGGTCCTATTGGTTTTCTCAATTTCCCAGTGCATTTTGTGAATAATTGTAACTGACATTACTATTGAATTATTTAATTCAAGGCAGTGTGGAGTAGGGTAGGATTGCTGCACCCAACTGCACTGGCAACCGCATGTTGATCCCTTGGTACAGCAATTTCGTATCATGCTGGAATCTTAGTCATGTGGAGCTGGCTTTATATGAAGTGCTTGTATAATACAGGTTCCAATATGAAAATTTCCCTTGAGGTTACACTGTAGTGAAACTATAGCTATAGCACAACATTGTAAAGTGAGCTGCTTCAAGCCCTTGTTCTCTTTCTTAGATTTAGCATTTGGTTCAGTGATAACAATGAAGAACCTTCGTATGGCTGGTGGATACCTTCATTCGCATTGGCATCTGTATCCTGAGGGAGTGGGAGCCCGGCAGCAGCAGGTCGGTGAACTGCTACTATGCTGTGTTAGGGCGATCCTGTGACCCTGTAATAAGCCACTTAGGAAAATGCAGACTGCCACCTCTGTGCTTATAAGAAAAATATTGATTAGGGAGTAACATGGATTTTCCCCATCCCAGGCCACAGTTCTGGCCTTATAAGACAAATCAAAGAGGGAGAAAAGGAGGTGTGATGCTGGGTCCAATTATGTCCACTTTTGTGGGTGTCTTTAAAAAAAAAAAGACAAATGTTCAAGAATAGTTAAAACTGTGTGTTTACCTGTGATTGTTTGTGTATTTAGAAGATTTATCATCCACCTCTTAAGGGAAAACCTTCCAAGGCAGAAAACAACAATATTAATCATAGAACACTTCTACCTTGTAAAAAATATTACTGAATTGTCAGTTGTGGGCTGAAAATAAAATCCTCAAGGCCAGTGATGCATGTTAATAAAAACATGTATTGGGAAATGGATTATTTTTTACTTCTTTGGAAAATAGTTCTTGACACATAAGAAAAACTTAGTTTAAAATGCAATAACTCAAAAAAGAGCTATGATAGTGACAAAATTAACTGGTATTTTTATATAAATATGAGCTACAAGCCTGGGTCTTTCAGAAGTATAGAATATGATATTTGACTGTAGTGGATAAACGAAGTGTGGTTTATTGTTGATTACTATACAAGTGTAAAGGGGTGAAATGCCATGACTCTTGTGTGTTTCTAGGTCACCGCATACTTACATAAGGATTTGAATAACCTGTGGATTATTAAGAAACACAACTTGATCACAGGTAAACTAAGAATAAGCCAAGTGTATGATGTAACTCATTTGTTCCATCTTCAAGAAAAAAATGTCTCTTTTCCCAGAGTTTGTGGCATGGATGGCTTTTCTTTCCTCATTTAATAAAGTGGGGTATATCTGCACCTCTGCAAGGGCATCTGGTTTTGGGGGTACATTTTAAGAATATTGAACTGGAACATAAGGAGTATGGAAATCAAGTTTGATGAGCAACAGCTGAAGGAGCTGAGTATATTTCACCTGGAGAAGAGAAGATTGGAGAAAGATGTGAAAGTGATCTTCAAATTTCTGAAAGGCTGGAGTGGACTTGTTCTCTATTGCTCCTTAGGGCAAGACTAGAACCAGTGGGTAGAAATTGCAGGGAAGCAGATTTGAGTTAAACATTAGGAGAAATCTCCAAACAGGAAGATCTGTGTGATGGGGAATGCACTGCCTCAGGAAATGGTGAAAGTTAGACAGCCATGTCAGTGATGATTATAGGTGCATCCTGCATTGCAGATCCTGCACTGAACTGGAGGGTTCAGCTCAATTACCTCCAGGATGTGTTTGAATGTTACGACAGTAAACCCACTTCTTTGTCTGGGGCCAAGGCACAGCTCCTGAATGCTTGCCCACCCTCAGTTCTGTCTACTTTCACAGCAGAGGCTCAGGGAGGGTTTTTGAAGGGTTTGTTAGTGGTGAGAGGCAGGTTTGGGAGTGTTTGCCCCTTTTTGTTGTGCAGGTGGTGACAATGCATGAGAGTTGGATAAGCATGTGGGTGGTATCTTCAGACAATTTCAAGGCCATCCTGGTCTATATCGTGAAACAAAACATGATCTCTATTCCTGTGATGCAATCACAGCTTTATACTCCCTTAGAATATGTCCAGATTAATCTTTGCCAACTGCAGCTTTACCAGTTTACCAGACAATTGAGGTATTTAAACCCTTAAATAAATAAATGAAAAAATAGATTACATTTAGCATAAATGTAGAATGAGTTGCCAAAAACTTTTGAAACAGATGTATGAGTATTTCTCTTAATACTTGCATGGTTTAGCACTTTTCTAGCTGGCCATTTTGTTCAGCCATTTTTATAATGATATCACAAAGTCATCAGAACAGTTTAGCATTCAGTGGTTGAAGTAAAGCATAGGTCTAGGGCAAACATGTTTATTTATGCTTTCCTAGTTTATTTTACATCAGTATTCTTATGTCTTTTCTATTCTCAGATTTCATGCTGTGACCTCTTTTATTTCAATAGATCTTTCAGACCCTTCCTTCCCTGTGGAGTTTGTGAGACATGGAGATGTTATCCGTCTGGAACACAAAGAGTAAGTAGGAAATGGAAGAAATCTTAAAGACTCTGCATTTGACCTGAACTAGTAATTCTAACTGAGTAAGGTAGTAGGAGTCCTAATCTGCTAATGACTATACCATGGTTGGAACAGGGCTTGAAACAAGCCTCTGTTATTATTTTCTTCTCTGAGTTTCACATGCTTCCTATTTATATATCCACATATTTGAACTCAAGAGGCCAAAGTAGGTGAGACTATGGGGATCTATGATTGGATTTCCTGTTAGCTTTTAAGTCTCATTAAACGCTGCAAGTCTCATTGTCTTTGCTGGGACAGACTAAAATAGCCACTCATCTGGAAGCAATGGGAGAGAATGTGCACCTCATTCTAAATAACAATCTTCATATTTGCATGTCAGTGGAGGCACGCTTAACTAGTAATTGGTAAAAGGCCAGCATATTCAGCTATGTCAGTTTCACTCCTTAAAATACTTCCAAATATAAAATCAACCAGTTTAGTTTTATTTTAACTTTAGGACTTCTAGAAACTTGCACAGTCATCAGCATGAAGCCCCCTTGACAAGAAAGCATCTTCAAGTCACTGGGTATGGAATAGTAAGTGAACAGAGAGACTTCTTAATTTTGTTTCCCACTGGAAATATATTTTGTTTATGTATTATATTTATATCCTGCCTTTCTTCCTACAAGCAATCCAAGATGACTTACATGAACCTTTTCTTCCTCTCCATTTTATCCTTACAACAACCCAGTAAGTTGGATTAGGCTGTGGGTCACTGGCCCAAAATCATCCAATGAGCTTTGTGGCTAGGCAGGACAAGGGAGAAGTCTTACGCCAAATCCTGTGGGCAGCTGGTATATGGAGTGCTGGACTAGGTGGACCTTTGGTCTGAGCAAACATGGCTTTTCTTATGTTCTATGTTTTCTTAAGTTCTTATGACTAGAACCAGGGTCTCCCAAGTTCTAGCTCAACCTCTAACCACTATACCACACTGGTTCTCCTGCTACACCATTCTGGATCTAAAGTGAAGGGCTGTTTCTTCTCTTTTAATTTTCTTTCTCTTAAGCTGTTCAAAATCTGTAATATTTCATTCAGGAGAACAGAGGCTTTGGTAGGTCATAATGAAAACAACAACAACAAAATCTTAAGATTAAAAGAAAATACTTAGAGCAACACATCTAATAAATCACAGTGCCAAAACTCAGGTCATCAAAAAACAATTGGCTTATACCTAGTGGTGTTGGTTAGGGATAATGCTTTCAGGAGGTCATAGGATTGCTCTCTTACTGATTTTCATTACTCAGTTCATGACCAAATCTGGTCACGAACAGAAATTTCATAAACATTTTGCCGCAGGTCGTGAACTCTGCATCAGGTGATGATCGTGAGCGCGCCTGCCTTCCCTGCACGGCGCGATCGTGGTCATGCTGTGCGGGGGAGATGACTGTGATCTTTGTTGTTCTATGTCACTTTGCTTCAAATTTTTGTGAGTAAAAAAATAGTTGTAGAATGGACTAACCTTATTTACTTTGAACCTTATAGGGAAATTTGACTTGGGTCACAACCAGTTTGGGTCACAACCAGAGTCCTGGAATGGATTAAGTTTGTGAGCCAAGGTACCACTGTATATAATGCTGGTACCTAAACTTTAGAAGAAGTATTACAATCTTTTAGAGTTTTCATAAAGTAAAAAAGAACCATAACAAAATAAATGTTATAGTTTTCTTTTGGAAATACTTGCCAGGTGTAAATATAGGAATCCCATTCAAAACATAATCTGAAATATATTCATTATGTGTTCCCTCTACCCCATAACCTCAACTTTAAAGATACCCCTCTAGCAATTTCTAGTAAGATCTCTTTAGCAGCCAATTCAAATTTAGCTTAAACATTTGAGATCTGTCTCCAGGGATGAGTATTCCCAGATAAATAAGAAAATCTGGACAAGGTCTGAATTGCCAGCTAGCTAATACACCAGTAAAATAATACTAGCATTGTTTCCCCTAAAACTCTTACTGCCAGTAACTAACATTTAAGAAAGGCATTTAACTTTTTTTAGAATGGGGAAAACTGCACAGAAGTCCTGAAATCACCAGACCATTGCAGAAAAAGAGGGTATTGCATTTTGAGCCAGATTTGACTATCGGTCCTGAGGTTTCCTACCTGGCTTTAAAGGAATATATTATATGTGTAATATGTATGCCTTCAGTGAAATGTTACTCTAATAGTAACTTTTGCTGGAGAGCAGATGCACATCTGCATTAAACTCATGTGTGTTGAGGGCACCGTGATGATGTTTTTCAGTGTTAAGGGTGGAGGCTCATAACAATCCCTGTTCTTTTCATGGCTGTAGTCCTCTTTCCTGCTGCCTCCTCATGCATGTGGTTCTTTTCCATTGGCATTCCTAGTTGCTACTGAAAGTGCTTTTCAGTGGGGTTGGGGCGGAAGCCCAGTGTCATTATGGGTGATACTCTGTGTAACATAAACTTCTTAGAGACCAATCTTCAACTTGCATAGCTGGCAGGGGAATGATGGGAGTTGCAAGCTGTTTTTCTATCTAATTATGGATAGGATTGTGTCCTCAATTGTAGAAATGTGTCCCCCTTCAAGGAGTGATGCATATTGGTGTTGTCTGGACACCACTTCTTTTTAGTTGGGGTAATGCTGAGGTGCCTTATTAATTCTTCAGCTGTCCTACTAGCTCCATGAATCTTCAACAGCCGGTATCTCTTCACTTCATAATAGTGGCTTTTGGTGGTTCTCTCTCCCCTCCCCACCAGTGGTATTTTTGTTTCCTAGAATGGAACTGGAGACTCCAATGACTTTTGGCGAATTGAGGTTGTGGGAAGAAAGGCTGGGAAACGTATTAAAGTCCTACGTAGTCAAATCCGACTGATTCACTTGGCTACAGGCTGCATCTTGGGTTCAACTGGAAAGACTCTACCCAAATGGTAAGTCTTAGATATATCTTTTCATGGAATTCTAGAGCTTATTGGAACTGAAAAGCCATAAAAACCAACCTCCAACCCCAGGAAGGACCCATATCCCTCTTTATTCCTGGTCACACATATGTACACATAGTCATGTGTGATTCTATGCATTTTGGGCCACATTGTGTCAGAGCAGAGGGCAGATGCACTGCTGAAAGGCCCTTACAATTCTCATTGTATTGGGACGATATAGTAGAAATACAAAAGACCACTGTTATATCAAAAAGTTAGCAGTACATCAAATTCCTTTGCCTATCTATATAGTTCTGTTTGGGCCTGTTTATAAAACTGGGTAGCTGATCAAATTCCCAAGTTTATGTCTATTGATGCAGTACAGCTCAAAAGTCATAGTGGCAGCCTCTGAAAAAGTTCTAAAGGCATTTTTTTTCAGAACAGCTGGGATGAAAGTTAGCTGATTTGGACCTGCAGCTGCCAGCTGTTTGAGCTAGTGCTTTTCTAGTTTGTAGGAATGTATGAAACACTTTTGAAGTCATTGGACTATGTCCAGCATAGGAGGGATCAAGTGGATCATATATGCTTTCTTAAGCCCCTCTCAAGATAGAGGCTTGGCACCAACTAATCTAGGTAGAATTGTACATCAAAGCCACTTTTGGGGTCCTGTTTGCCACTGAACTGAACAGATTTGAATGTTTATTTCATATGGCGTTGGTACAATTAGCCAGGAAGTCTACAGTGCTAATATTTGCAGAGTAGTTTGGCTGCCTAAGATTGCTAGCTCTTTTGTTCATGCTCACACACTATCTCTGGTGCACCACAGAGGACGAGCCAGCTTTGCACATAAAGCAGCTAGTGCTAGTCTGCAAGAGTGCTGGTGGCCTCCCTCCACCGCCGGCGCTGCCACTGCTGCTCCAGGTTTGGCGTTGCAGGTTTGGCACTTCATGTCCAATGCAGAGCTGGTCTTCACACTTCCACACAGGTCACTAGCTCCCCACCAAGGTGGGAACCATTTATGTACTCGCACTTTAACACACTTTCGAGCTGCTGAGTAGGTAGGAGCTGGGACAAGGCAATGGGAACTCACCCCACCAGGTGGATTCGAGCTGCTGGCTTTCTGAATGGCAAATTCAGCAGCTCAGAGGTTTAACCTGCAATGCCACCTCGTGTCCCCTTGTTGAGCAGGTAAGATACAGGATTTCCTTTGGCAGAAGGAATGTATGCTTTATCCTGCATTGCTTCTTTTGCTTCAAATATTCTGTTTATTTGCATCTCTTGAATATATCTTGTATTCACCTCTTGGCACGCCTATTATTTTTGAATGGCCTATGAAGAATTACTGGCTCATGACAACAGTGTTGCATAGAATTGAGTGAACTGCAGGGAAAGGGAGAAAGACACATGTTCCATTGGCTCACTCTTAGTCCAATGTTACTGTTGATGAGTTCTTTCCTAGTGTCAAATGTTGCTATCTGTGAGTTTCTGAGCATGAGCAGAAATCACCCAGGAAGTCCACCCACACTACATTTAATGTTAATACACTCCCATGATATCCAATGTTCTTTCTCTGATTGTATCACATTCTGATGCACCATAGGAAGTGGAAGAGAAAAAACAACATCAGGAGGTGGAAGAAACTTTTGATTCTACTGAACCAGTTATCCCAAAAATAAAAGATATATCCTTCATAAATATGGCCACCCCTTTTTCAAATCTAGTAAAGAACTCTGTCATAAGCTGTTCTAGGAGATTATCGTAGTACTCTTAGTTGTTTCATCTTATCTTCCAGTTTCCAACTGAAACTAGCTAATTCCAATTTATAGACATTGATTTTTAGATCCATAGTACTGAGAGCTTGTGCAGTGTTGATTTATTATAAACCTCCTTGGTATAGGCTTCAGACCTATGATTTAAATTAAGAAACTTCACAGCAGTAAAGTTTTATGTTCACTATTCTTTTAAAACTTTTCTAGAGTGTTGTGGTGACGATACCTTATGTAATGGGTGACAAGGTGTGGGAGTTGCAAAGAGGTGGAGAAGATAAAAACTTTCCTTCTAGGAGCTTTCTTAATTTGACCTAAGCACCCAAGACATTGTTTTTGACTCTGTGCAAGAAAGACTCTCTGCAGTTGGGTTTATAGCAAGAACACTTCTTGCTATATATAGTGTCCCTTACCTTTAGAAAAATGTCTGCATAATTCTCCATATTATAAGCCTTGTAGCAGCATACAGTTCTTCTCTGAAAATGCTGGCTATATTTTTATTGGTTCTCATAAAGTTTTGAACCATGAATATCTGTAGGTTTTCTTTTTCTAATGAAAAGGGATCTTATAATGAAATGCAAGTTGGGAATGCAAGTTGCTAGTGAAGAGCAGGTGTGTGAAACAAAAGGCTCTTCCAAGCACATTAGCTCCCCTCTGCCTGCACAATGGAGTGTGTCCCGGTCCTTTTGTAAAACGATCTGCTTTCGAAGGCTGAATTCATAATATGATCCTGAATATCTTTCAGCCAGAAAGCCAGTTAAGCTAAAACCATTGTAATACAATTTATTAGAAAACGAATTCTCACTTCATTTCATTTCACTGCAGGAGCCAAAGCTAATACAAGAACATTGCACTTAGAAATTAATGTATCTTAGAATACTTTGACAGATGTATAAACCTAAAGATGAGTTGATCTATTGCCTTAAAGATATAAAAAGGTGGTAGTGGTAGGACTGATATGTTTCCAGGACATACTGCATAAAGAGCCGTTCATTTGTGATGGTGACTGGATGTTGGATTAGCCATTTTCCACTTAGGGAAAATTGCTCTATTAAATGGATCACATATCTTAGAGTGCTCCTTGTCACGGTGTACAGATGTGAAATTATACCTGTGTCTTTGAATGAGTGGGTGGGCCTTCTTTTGTTTAATTTCTATACCACCCGTTAGTCAAGATGACTGTCTAGGTGTTTACATAATTAAAATGCACAAATAAAATATATACATTAAAGTAAAAGATAAATAATACATTGATATAAAAGCAATGCTAAAATAGCAGCAATAGTCCTTTAAATTCATTTGTGTTGGTAAATGCTGTATCGTAGCATTGGATTTTAAAATTCTCCTTTTTAAATACACAAAGGTTGGTTCCTTTCCAAATATGTAACATACCAATTTCTATTTTGTGGCCTTTTTGGGGTTCATTTGAGCCACATATATATTGACAATTACCATCATGTATCTTCCCCACGGTGGTGCCATTCAGATGTGTTGGGCTATAAGAGGGGCCCTCAAATGTTTTCAACAGGGGGCCAGTTGAAAGGTGGCGGTGGTGGGGGTGGGCTGGCGGGCGTGGGTGCACTCATGCAGGGAAGGCGGGTGCGCTCGTACAGGGAAGGTGGGTGGGATCACGGCCATCTCCCCCCCCCCCCGAGCATGACCACGATCGTGGCCATCTCTCCCCCAAGCATGACTGCGATTGCACCCGTCTTCCCTGTACGAGCGCACCTGCGATTGTGCCCGCCTTTCCACTGAGTACGCCTGTGCTGGCTCAGAGGTTTTGGACTCGCTTGGAGATCGTTTTCTCCAAGCAAGTCCAAAAGCTTTGAGGCAGGCTGTATAAATCAGCATGGTGGGCCAGATGTGGCCTGTGGACCGTAGTTTGAGGACGCATGGGCTATAACTTCCCTCATTCTCAGTCAATAGGTCATAGGTCATGTTGTCTGAAGATTATGGGAGTACAACACAACTAGATGCCTCCAAGTCGTCGTTAGATGGATGTAGCTGTTTTTAAATTATTAGAACAGAGTCAAATGTGTGCTTACATACTTCACACGTGTATCTCTTGTTTCTTTACACTGAAGCTCGCTTTATCTGAATCTTGAAGGGCCAGATAGAGGTGTGTGTTATAGAGCATATGCATATGGACAGTTGGGAAGAAGCAGACCAGAAATTTTGTTGATGGTTGACAGTGTTCATCTTTCACAGGGGCTGGGAGCAGGTAGAAGTCACTTGCACTCCATATCAGAAGGAAACGCCTAACACCCTCTGGAATGTTGAAGATCACATCAATCCCAGACGTATGTGATTGTATTTACTTCTTTGTCATGACAGTATCTGTGGAGTAGGTTAGGGGGAAAGAGTCAGATTTGGAATTCCTGGATAATTTGTACAAAAGCTGAATTGGACTTAGTGTTGGTGCTTGCAGTAATGTTGCTTAGTGTGGTCATATCTACCGGGAAACTATCTGTGATCCTCCACGTCTGATATTGCAGTGCATAATGGCAAGTGGTGGAGACATGACTAGTCAAGATACCATGTTGCATGGGTTTTTGTGTCTGTGCCTTCCTTACAACATCTCTCACATTGACTCTAACTTAATGCGAAGGGAATGGTTCTGTTTAACCTCTGAGATTTCATTTTCAACTGTATTTTTTTCTGTAGTGCCCAATATCAGTTTGGATGTTCTGAAGCCTTCCTTTCCAGAGATTCTGGTGGAGTCACACATGGTTATGATTCGAGTAGGTAGAGTGGCTTGGGTTCCATATTTGTTTATATTTTAACTTTATTCCTCTGTGGCTAAAATGAAACACTTAAAAAAAGTCTGTGGTGATTATACCAGTTTGGGTTATCTTTCAAATAAGAGAAGTGTTGTGGCATTCAGGAGGCTGGTACTCAGTTCCCAGTGAGTTCCCAAAACATGTTATTGAGCCTGCTTGGAAATCTGGGCATTATGGGTTATACAAGGATCAAACAGCTGTTCAGTTGACTGTGGTTTATTTTAAAATACAACTCTTGGTTTGTATGGAATGACAAGACAGGAATCTGCTAAGGACAAACTAAATTTTGATTTATCTCCCCTTCCAATCATGTAGAAGGAGAGGAGGAGTGAAGGCACCACCCTGAGGCTTCACTTCAGTTAATTTTTGTGTGTGCACATTGTTGTAAACCATGGTTTAATGTTACATGTGAACCCTCACATGTGATTTTGGATTTCTTTAAATGAAAGGTATTTCCTTTCTAGAGGGAAAGCAACCCTGATGAATCTGTATTTGGTGAGAAATCTTAACATATACAATTGACAATAACAAACTGTTGGGGAAAGGACTGTACATTTTCACTTTGGGAAAGCTTCCAAAGCATATCCATTAGATATCCACTATTTTGTTTGTTTGTTAAAGCCTTCCTCCACTGGAGGGCAATCTAGTTATATTGGCAAGACACAGGAAATGATTGTATGTGTGTGTCCATACTAGCTTTTGTGCAAAGGTTGGTTGGATTATGTCATAGAGCTACTTTCCTGGATCAAAGCATATATCAGCTGCTACATTTTTTCTAGAGTGCTGGTCTGATGGATACCTCTGGGTAGTTCACAAGCAAGGTTACAATGGAAATAACCATTGCTTTCTTCCTAAAGGGAACATGCATTTGAAGAAAATATTTTGGGAAAAGTAGTGTTCTTCTTATGAACTCCATTTTTGTCTGGGGCTCTGTGCTGCAGTGTCCAACTCTACTAATGGTTTTAGCCAGTTTGAAAGGCCTTAGTTCTTAAGGTTACGCACACTGTCTGATGTTCCTATCATGTGATTATGAATAGAATGTATAAGGTCAGTGTTATGAACCATGATTACATAAATGGTATATATCCTGTTTCTATGTCAGAGCTGTTTCTTCACAGTGAATGAAGTCAAGTTTGGTGTCTTGTGAAATATAAAGCTTTGGTTGTTCTGGAGTTGTCCAGCCCCTTTTCTGCCATGGGAACATAGAACTAAATGTTTGAGTTTCTCTGATTTTGCTTGAAAAGTCTTAGATTTAAACAGTGTTGTCCTTTCAGAATTCTGAATGGGTCTTCTGCTGTTGACACATGTGCATTTTCCTAAGAAGTTAGGTCTCTGAGAGAGATGGCAGTCTTAATATAGTACCTGAATATAGTTTTTTTTATTGTTGCCTGGGAAAGTCTGGGATTTAAACAATGATATTTCAAACTGTCCTTAGGAAATTAATTGCCATTAATGTAGTCTAGAAGTGAGATAGCATTTGCAGTAAGAGAGGCCTGTAGGTTGCAGACAAACACATGTAGGTAGGACAGTCTGTGATGGCTGTATGCTGTTTTCTGTGTAAGAGGCAGTTTGTACTTGGCTGGGTATCAGGCGCTACATAAAACAGTGGCAAAGGGCTATTCTTGTCCTGTGTCTGGGCTTCCCAGAGGCATCTGGCCACTGAGTGAGGCAGCATGCTGTGCTTGGCTTTTGGTCTGATTTGGAAAGCTGAATCTTGCAACATAATTATAATGTTTATTTTTCTGGTAGGGAAACAGTGGCCTCAAACCAAAAGAGAATGAACTCACATCCAAACCTTGGCACTGGCCCATCAATTATCAGGTATGTAGGCAAAACTGAGTCAGGGCAGGGAAAAGGGCAAGGTGGGGGGGGCGCGCAAGTGTGTGTCCAACTTTTTTGATTTCGTATCTCCGTTTTTAAGAGAACAGTATGATAAACTGTTCCTCACTTGTGTCTGAATAGTCACCAGATGCATGTTTAAGTGATTTCTGCACAAAGCCCAGCCTTGTATCATGTTTTTCCTTTTGTAGCTCTTGTTACTTGGTAACATCATGTTAAGCATTCCTTGGCCACTATGTGAATGGGTACCCCAGGATTATTGGGCAGCTGATGCATTGCTGTCAAACAGCAAAAACTGCAAGTAGCTGAAATGGCTCCCATAATAAATATAGGTTCATATAAACATGTTTCCCTGAAAATACTCACTTAGAGATGCTGAACTTTTCTGAGGTATAGGGAGTACTGCTTTTTCTTATAGCAGGGGATCCTTATAGAAACTTTTGGCTTAAGGTAAAAAGTCAGACCGAAGAACACTTCTGACAAGACCATCATTTTCTTCACAGGGGCTACGTTTTTCTGGAGTCAATGAAACAGATTATAGGGTATATTTGCTGGGAAACCCGGTAAGCACAATGTGGTTTTACTTCTCCTTGTCAAGGTGGGTGGTGGGGATTCAGGTTTCTTTTTCCCTTCCAACCTTCTCTCAGATATTTCTTCTCACCCTTCCCAGTAGTTTTCCTATGGCTTTATGGTGCCTTTTGTGCATCTTTGCCTACTTGCAAGGCTTTCCCTCACAGGTGATCTGGTGGATGAACCTAATCACTATTGGATTGTATCTCATAATGGCAATATGTCTATCTGTGGCCATGAAGAGGGGAGTTCAGCTGACAGCTGAGCACAAAGGTAAGGTAAAAATTTCCACCTGCTGTGTCTAGGCTTCCTGCTGCAGGAGCAGTCACCATATGTAGGGTTGGGCAAGGGAAGCATAACTTTGAACGAAGTATTGAAAGAATCGTGATAATGATGAATGGAGTCTTAGGATCACAAATGGAATTTTCCTGCATTCTCTGGGCTTGTTCAGGAACCCTCTGAAATAGTCTTCCTTGCAGCATGAGGAAACAAGAGCAGGTAAGGGAACCTGGATTCATAAGTGGAAATATTTGCTTATGTGTATTCCCTAGGTGCCTTGGATTTCAGCCTAAGAATTTAAGAAAGGTTATTTGCCTTTATTATACTTCTACTTCTCTTACTTCTACTGCTACTACTGCTCAAGCATTCCTGTGACAAGAAAAATAGCCCAAGGGGACAGTTTTTTTTCAGAATGTTTAACTGTGGTGTTTGAGAATTCCTGATTGGGCCACTCCTTTGGGGCATTGCTTCCTTTCTAATCACCACCTGAAGAATTATCTTCTATTGGACCATAACTGCTGTGTATTCCATTTATCATGCACTTTAGTTTCTTTACAGTTGCACACAATGGTAGCACTAACGTTGCATTGTCTAGTTGTCACAGGGAATTAATGAAAGGTTCCTTTTAAACACTGTTGGGAGCTAGTTCACACACCTATAAGACCGTAGCTGCTTTCAGACATTGTAATTATATGTACGTTCTACACATGAGTAGGAGGAATGGAGATGAGCATGCCGTGTTTGTTCTGCCCTCTCCATCATTGCCCAGATATGGAGAGTGTACAGGGGACATCCTCCTCTGTCCATGGAAGTTGTCATAAAGATTTTAAACCCCGTAAAAATCAGGGTTCCAGGTTTCTGAGAGAATCTGCATTAGTAGGGAAGGATCTCCGATTTGGACAAGGCAGGGGGCAGGCAGGGGAAGAGCTAACACTCTCATGTCCAATTAGTCTCCTCATTTGTAGAGTTTTGCAATAAAGTTTATACTCAGATAATGTTTGATAGGGCTCATGTTGTTCCTGCATAGAATTGTATCATCAGCTGAAGAAATAGCTCTCTTACGTAGTTTTTCATGATGGTCTGTGGGGTGCCAGTGGTTTCCTTAATGCTGACTTGGAACTGTTAGCATCTGTACTGTAAGCAGATCCAGTTATCTACAGTGTAGTTTGGCCTTTTGTGAACACAGTATTCTTGACTTGTATCAGCAATAACCTTGTCCCCCAAGCCTTTAAGTGGCAAAGTGGTAACAATAAAATATTTCACTGATATGTACACTCCATGAAACTAGATAACTGCAGGAAGTTTGACATAAACAGAAGTTTGCTCTCTCCTGTGATGAGAAAAAAAATCAAGAAATCTGCTCAATGAACAAAATCTCAGGCATGTCCATGTGTGTTGTGTTCCAGAGCTTTCTCAAGTTCTGTTGCATGGCGGAGGAAGGATCATGCTGGGATGGCTTCTCCATTATCTTCCTTTTTTCATGATGGGCCGGGTGCTCTATTTCCATCATTACTTTCCTGCCATGCTTTTCTCCACCATGTTGACAGGTATGGTTCATTAATCATCACACAGTGGGAACTACAATGGATGGTAGATTAGATTACAGAGATCTTTGGAAAGGTATGAGTGTAAGGAGTGGTTGCATTTTTATGGAATCATAGTTGATTGTAAAATGGATGTAATGGGACCACAGGGCTAATGCTTTGGGAAAAAAGTCAATAAACAATATCTTTGCCATCAGCAAGACCAGCTTGGTTTAGACTTGGATCTAGAAGAACTGGGTTTAGAATAAGGGCATATACTTGGTACGGTTGCATGTTGCACCAACCCACCATGACAACATGGTTGGTTGATGGCAAAACAAGCCACGGTGCATCTGACAGACACTTGGGCTTTCTTTCATTTGTTTGCCCCCTCCCTCCCCTTCTTCCACCCTCCCATGGGCATGCTGTGGGCGGCAGGAATTGTCTTTCTTCCCCCTGTTGGGACAGTGAACTGTTTCAGGCTTGTTGTGGCCTTTTTGTGTATAGACTTTTTTCTTGAGACTGTGAAAGTAGGCTGACAAATTGGCTTTGGCAATCCTCATTTTGACAGCTATAGACAGTCTCTTGAAAGAGCCTCAGCAATACCTTGTAGATGCTGCATGCAATTGCCAAACTTTTTTGTCCCCACTAATTTTAGCAAACATACACATTTTTTTAAAATAGTCCTCACTGGTACAACTCTGGACATGGAATGTGGAATCTCAGGTGAGCAATGAGTGTGTCTCCTGACAAGGTGCAGCAGGTACCCACTCTGGATGATGCCCCATAGAGGCTGCAAATACCTCTATAGTACCTATATAACTGGATAGTGTCTACCCCCCAAAATGTGCTTAATGTTCCCTAAATTCCACTTGAAAATGTAGCTCTAAGAGCTGTCAAAGGTAACTATTTGGGTAAATAAGTTGGCTCACATGTTGCATGTTCTCTAAGTGACAGCCTTCTGGAAACAAGCACAAAAATGAGGGCACTCTTGAGCCCAAAAGCCTGCTTTGAAATGAACCTGATGGCCCTTTCCATGACCTAAGTTTATTTACGTACACCATTATTTACATTTGATAGCTTGCCTTTTGACAACTGTCAGAGGTAGTAAAAGAAAATAAATGCACCTGCCGGCTTTGTAGTGCAGTGCTGAGGGTCAACACCTGCCAGCAGGCACCTGTCTGCACATTGCCCACCTGAAGCTCCCCATTCGTAAACCAGTGCAACTGCGACTGTCCACAGCTGCACACATGTGTGCAATTAAAAAATATCATGGTTTTTGCAAATGTTTGTGAAAATTGGGGTTATAAAAAAATAGAAAACGTTTAGCAACTATGGGCAACCCTTCCAAGGAGCCACTGGGGCACTTTGAAGGGACATTTCATAGCTGGTCAAACAGTGATCATGAAAGCTGGCTTGATAAACAGCCTCTGCAATCTTGAGAAACATGTAAAGAGAACAATGTTATAGCAAGCCTAAAATAGCTCAGGATTATGTCAGGGATTGAGGGGAAGCCAGTGCCAGCTGCCTACAAGTGCTGCTTGATCACTTTTGGGGTGGCTGGAACTGCTATGCAAGAGCAACAAGAATTTTTGCCAGGCTGGTCCACAGCCCATCCCTGGTACCTATGTTCAGGTTGGTTTTGGGCTTGAATGACATGGCAGTCCATCCTGGGTTCAGCAATCCCTAGAGCAACCCATATATTGTCAGAATGGCTTGTTTCCCACACAAAAGCTGCCCTGTGGGGATTGGTATAGGATGACATGACACAACAGCCCATCATGGTTAAAGGACCACTGTGGCCTGTGAGCCCAATCAGCGGCTTGCCCTGGGCAACATACTGCCCCACCCTCATAATTTCCCCTACCTGTAAAATGGATATTGTAATGAACTTATTCAGGCTTATGAGGATGCGTGTGATTAAAAAATTCTAAACCTTAAAAATTGCTATAGAAATGTCCATTGATAGTCTGCATTTAAGGATATATTTCTTTGCTTATGTTAAGGATATTGTTGGCTCGTTCTTAAAGGCAGAAATATCTTTAGAATAGCCCCTATGCCAAAGGTACAGTTGCATGGGGTTTTTTATATTGCAATTTTTGCATCTTGCTAACCACTCTTCAGAATAATGAAATATGTCTCTGATATTAGCTTGCAGATTCCTTTTTGAATGAGAGATAATTTCAGGAGAGAACAGTAGTAGCAATATTAATAATGAGAATTCAAGAGCTGTGATTTTTAATATTGAATGCCTTTTGCTGCTAGCACTAACATTCATTTCTGCTAAAGTACAGAATTTAAGCTTCATGCCCTTAGATTGCTTATTATAGAACCTCCCATGGAAAACTCCTTCAGACTGTGAAATAAAATTGACTTTGCCATTTATCCTGGGAATTTGTGCTGGTCCTTCTGATAAGTACCCACATCAGTGTGAATGCGTGTATGGATGCCATGTGGCTGCCTGTATTGATATGATTACTGGATCTTTTCCAACTTCCAGTGCGCCTAATGACCTTCTTCTTCCTCTTTATCTTCCAGGGATTACATGGGATGTATTGCTCAAGTTTTGTGCTGGGCCTCTGTCAACAAGCATCCAGACTAGATATGTTCATAACTATGGGATAGCAATGTTGATCCTGCTCAGTATATACAGGTGAGAGTTGGCTCCAGAACTGTTAACTTACACCTGAAGACTATTTTGGAACATTTGAATGTTCATTTTCTTTATTTGAAGAAAAGCCATGCTGGTCAGACCAAAGGTTTATCTTGTCCAGTACTCCAAACACATGGTGTCAAACCAGCTTCCCACAGGGTTATTCAAACAGGAGGAGTGTAAGACCTATACCTGCCCATGCTTCTCAGCAGGCGGTGTATGCAGGCATGTCACCTCTGGTAAAGGAATCAGCACCTAGCCAGCAAGGCTAGTAGCCATTGATAGCCTCCTCCTCTATGAATCTGTTCAAAGCCATCCAAATTGGTGGCCATCACCACTTCCCATGGCAGTGAATTCCATAAGTTAACTATACACTGTGTGACAGTCTTTTCTTTTGTCTGTCCTAAATCTTCCACCAGTCCGTTTCATGGGATGACCCTGGATTCCAGTGTTATGGGAGAGGGAGGAAAAGGTCTCCATTCTCTCCACATCATGCATTATTTTATTATCTCCCCTTACTTGCCTTTTTCTAAGCTAAACAGTGCTATTTGTGAAGCCACTCTTCATAGGGGAGCTGCTTCAGCCCCCCCGATCATTTTTGTTGCCGTTCACTGGACATTTTCCAATTCAATAACATCCTTTTCCAGGTAAGAATACCAGAACTGAACACAGTATTCTAAGTGTGGTTGTACTTTTGTGTAAGGGGAGTAAAATCTTAGTAGTTCTCTTTTCTGTTTCATTCCTAATTATGCCTAGCACAGTTTGCCTTCTTCATGGCAGCTGAGCAGTGGGCCAACATTTTCATCAAGCTGTCTGTCACTACCCTGAGATCCCCTTTTTGCTCACCCACTGCCAGTGCAGATCCCATCTACCTATACTTGAAGTTAGGATATTTTTGCCCCAACAACTTCAGACTTGCTTACATATAACTGCATTTGCCATTTAGATGCCCATTCTTCCAGTATGGGGAGATCATTTTGAAGCTACTTACAATCCCTTTAGGTTTTATTCATCCTAAATAGTTTGGTGTCATCAGAAAACTCAGCAACTTCACTGCTTACTCTCAATTCCAGATCATTTATGAATAGGTTGAAAAACATTGGCCCTAATACAGAACTTGTTCATTGCTTCTGAGTCACATCTGAGTTGCGTTGCTGACACAACTTGAGTTGGACTTGGGAGTGAGTTGTTCAATGTGAGTCCCCAGCACTGCTAAACAGTGCCTGTAGGTCACTGTAGGAGATGATGCTGTGATGTGCTCTGCCGTTGTGGCGCTTGGTCTCTGGGTACTGTATTCATGTTTAGATCTTTTCCACAGCTTCTACCTCTTCCATCCTCTCTCTTATGGGATGATAGGACCTCTGGCTTCTGATCCCAGCAGCCCAATGGCAGGACTCAAGTGGCTGGAAACATGGGAGTTCTAAATCCAGCCTGGAAAAAGAAAGGAATAAAACAGAAGAACAGAAGTGGTGAAACCTTTCTGCTCACTCCACGAGAGGTGTAAAGAATCTGTTCCCAAGCATCACTTTCAAGCTGATGCAGTGAATTGTTCACCTTGAACTCTGAGAAAAGCAAGAGGCAACTATGAGGGAGAACCTCTGCCATGGGGCCCAGGGTCCCAGTGACTTGACCCAGTTACTTGATTCTTTAAAGTTTGACCCATCCAAGCAATATGTTAACATTCAAACAACGGTGAGCTGCCTCCATGGCAGCGTCATTTTGTATGAGCTTGAGGATGCATGCGTTTTGCAGTGGTGTCACTTAACGTCTGCCTGTCTCTGCTCATGTGTGGTTAAACAGAGCACAAGAATGATCAAGTGTATTATTAAAGCAACAGCAATCCGGAGAGTTCACATCCAGTAACTCTTCATTGTGATGTTTTTAAAGGTAGGTGTGTGTGTGCCTGCCCATGTGTGTGTTTCTGGGAGAATCATGTGACTGCTGCTCTGAGCTTCAGGAGCTTGGACTTAAACGTCACAGTAGCTTGAAGCCTTCCGAGATTCTGTGCCTTGCTTGCCCCCTCCCACAAAAAGGCATATCTTTGCATAATGTTTTTGTTCTCTGAGAAAAGATATTGAAAGAACCTCACAGCTGCCTGAAAGGACTCGTGTGGGGATGCAACTGCAGCATTCCAGTCATCAAACTGGACTTTTTTTTTCAAAAAGCTCCAAAGAGAGAAGAGAGAGTTTTCATTTTCCTGCCCTAAATTCCTCTGACAGTGAGGAGTGGTGCCTTTGAGGAGGATGCAAAAGTTACATAATAGGTTAGAGCTGCTGCTGAGAGCTGTCACCCATCCTATTAATCTCACTGCCTGCTTACACTTCTTACAGTGGGAAGCTGGTACCTCTTTGATGAATGTAGAGTGTGCAGAATATGCTGCTAACATCAGTGGATTGAAATGCTATATTACTTTTGTGGAAGAATTAACCTCTTTGCTATTATAAACCATGTAGAAAAAACCAATTATAGTTTTTTTGGGGGGGAAACTAAATTCTTCAGCTGGTGAGTGGAGAATGCTTTTTGTAATCCGTTTCTGAAAGTATGTGAGAGAAAAGCCCTGAAAAAGTCAGAATGAGGCATCATCCTGCAAAATGTTAATTTGGTTCTAGCTGTTGTACACCAGAATTTTCCTGAGCAAATTTGACTTCAGTTCCTTTTACGTGGCTAACTTGAAGCCTCCTTTGCATGTGTGTTATGGCCAAATTGGGGCTCTCTAACAATTTGTTTTAGCATCTGTATTAAAGCTAGAAGCCTGCCACTTCCTCTCCCCCTCTACCATCCACCATCAAAGGTCTGTCTCTGTTGGCATGGTGACTAAATGCCAATATCCTCAGGAGAGGCTGGGTGGTTGTAATGTGTGTGACTATTTGAGGCTAGTGCTGCCTGATCCATTAAAAGAAGAAATGCAAAACTGTAGTTAGTCTGGCTGGACTAGAGTAGGAACAGTAAGACTAACCTTTTAGTCAGTGGCAGTAGTTTGAATTTTCATTCTTTACATAGTATATTAGCAGAAATGATAAAGAGTTTCAGCCTTCAATTTTTACTTCCTTTGTTGATGCTTAATGGGAATCAATGTAAAAATAGACGTAGAATTTCCTATGGCAGGAAACATTTTCCTGTGGCTGCCCTGGGACTTCAGATATCATGTACAGAAAAGAAGGGAAGTCAGAAATTCTCCCCATTATACTTCATCTCTGCTGCTGGTAGAGACATCAGTCTGCAAATATAATAGATCATAAGCAGTAGCAATGCAGTTGATCATCATTGGAAGAATAAGGTTGAATTACTAAGAGGTTTTGGCCACCTTGTATTTCCAATAAGTATTCAAATGTTACTCTTCTTGACTAAATTTTGCTGAAGCAGGGTCTGATCAGGTAACCAGTGAACTATTCAATTTTATCTTTATTCCTCAATTCTATATCTTTCTTTGTATTTGTAATTTTACCAGTTGAATACATGTACTGTTGGAGCCATGGTTGCCCCTTGAAGGAGGAAACCCATTTCTTTCCTCCTTTAGGAAGGAAAGATTGACCAAGATAAAATTTTAATATTACAAAAATCAGCAAGGCCAACTGTCTGTTTCTCCCTTGGATTCTGCAGTAGTCCAATGGATGACTGTTCAGCACAACCTTGCCCTGCATTTTCAGAGGTCTCACTTGCCCAGCCTTGCACACCACCAGGGCTCTGGCTAGCTAAAATGTGCTGCTGTTTAGAGCACTTGCTTCCTTTTCAAGTTGGTCTGTTAGGACTGCTTTGCAGCTGAGGAGATGAACTGGAACATAGAACCAGAATGGTAAAAGAATGCTTCAGACTATTCTAAAAATGCCTTCCTCCCCCCCCCCCCACACCCCACAGCCAGTCTTGTTGGAGCGTAGAGAATCCATTCATGCTGGAATGTCTGCCAGAATAAAACCTTTGTCTTGAGGACTTTAGAGAATCACACAGGTTTTCCTTTAAGTATTAGTGTGGGACTAACAAATACGATTCTACAAAACTCCTTCTAGGAGATAGGAAGGAGAAATTAGCAATAAAAAAACCCCTGTGTGACGGCACTGTGTCAGCTTTTTCCCTTGATAGTGCTTTATTCTAAATAGGCTTCTCATTCTGTATGTTATAGTCAAGAATTTCATGTCCAGAGCAAGGCAGATGATTGTCAGAAACCTTTGTGCTTTTATTTACATCGTGTCCTGACTGGCAGATCGGCAGAACTGAACTACTCATTCAGAAACAGCACTTGGCACAGCCCTTCTTGAACTATGTCTCTCCCCGCCTCACTTCAGGTGCATGTGGAGGATCGCAGGTGCAACTGTTTCTTCACATTAAAACTAGCAACAGCAAACTTGCACTTAGGCAACTGGCACATCAGGAAGGCTTGGCTAGCGCCCTTCTCTCTCACAGGGTAATTTTCCACAGGCCGGGAATTTCAGTTTGTGACGTTGAGGAGCATTCATGCACTCTCTCCCTGCTCCAAAGGGTGGGCTGTACCGTACATTATTTCTGAATCTGTAGCGTAGTTCAACTCTAACTTGATTGCTTCAAGGGAGTGATTTAGGCTCTTCCTTACGCAATCATAGTGTGTTTTACAGATAGTATGGCAGTTGTCTACTGACCCTAGACAACTTTCTGCCTTGTGTGTTTACTAAAGTTGTTAATACTGAAGCAACTGTGCATTTGCTTTTTGTACATGACCACCGCCTTGTATTTATGTGAGCATATTTCATTGCCCTGCTGTGTACATGTTACTAAATGAAAACAAATTGCCTTTGGATTGGCGCTGCTTTTTGTTAAGGAACTAATTGAAAATGAGGTAAAATGTGCAAATATTTGCTTTTTTGTAATAAATAAGCTTTCTTTCTTTCAAATGTCTTGTTGATTTCTGAATGTTTCCTTCTTCCTCTGTAGTACCACCACCAAAATAATGGCTTGATTAGTGCTGGGGATCGTGATGATGGTCTTATGGCGACCCTTGCTTTTGCAGAATGCCACCAGCAGTATTTACTCTAAGGGGTGGTTGGGAGTAGTGTTGAGGAAAATAGGGAGGGGTGTGTGTGTGTGTACACAAGCTGTGGCAATGGCTTATCTGTATATCATAGGACCCTCTTGAACCCCTGCTAGGCTCTATACTTGTTTTCACTACTCAGCATTTAATACTGAAGGTAACAGCAGCTTTTGATCTATAATGGGGTGCTCATTATCCCCAGTTAGCACTAAACTCCCAAGTTGCCATTGAGAGCTGTAACTTTATAGCCGATTCTTCTGAAAGGACAATAAATGTGCTTATTGATCTGGCTTTGTTCCTATCAGGTCCATAGTACAGAATCAAATGGAAAAGGATATTGCCCATATTATAAGATGCAGTTACATACAAATCAGAAGTCTTTTTGTAGAACAGCATGTTCAAAATAAGAATAGCTGATGTAATTAAATCAGCTGTGTGCGTGTCCGTGTGTGCACTTTTCTGTGTATCCAGCCGAGGGACCAAGCTGAGAGCTTGGAAGAGCTGGTGGCATGAATGTTCCATATGTGAGAGTGCTAAAGAGTGCTTATACTGAGAAGACTTCATTGCAGATTATTTAAATAGTCACTGCAGAGGGTAACCAATATGATCAATTTTTGTAAACACATCGTATATTAACAAACTCAGTGGTAGTGATTCTTTGTTCCTCCCACACTTGCCTGCCCTTTTAGTTTCTTAATGGTAATGCCATGGGCAAGATTGCAGAGAAAAATCTGCTTCCAGTGGCATTGAATATATGCTGATTATGGAATGGGGTTGGCTAACAGATCAGAAATGGTGCAAATGTGCTAGGTGGCTAGTATGACAAGAAGTTGCGTTCTAAAGCTGAAAGACTTTTTAATGGTGTGCATGAAATAAATTAATTCTCATCCAGATTCTGAATAAGCATCACTGGAGATTGGCAGCAATCAGCCCCTTTGTTTGACATTTCCCACAAAGATGCCAAGAGCATCATTTAGCAAGGTGCTGAATGCTTATTCTCTTGCTTCTGCCTGTTGCTTCTTGAGTTGGTGAAAAGAACTGAACTGAGATGGTGAAGAAAATAAAAAGAAGCTCATTAAGCTTCAGGGATGAGGTAGAGGAAGCCGAAGGCACAGAAATGTCTAGTGATAGCTAATAGAAGGTAAGTTGTACCATCAATCTCAGAGCTTGCTTTACTTCAACATTTTTATATTTCCTGTCATCATACTAGATTTCAGAGCAGGGTATACATGAAAGTGGTAGATAAAAATCCAAAACAAATGAAGACTTTCTCATTTCAGCTCAGTAAGATTTGTCAAAATGCCTGGGTAAATAAAATGTTTTTGCTTGGGTGTTAAATGTTGGTACTGGACAAACCCCTTTGGGGAGAATGTTCTGTAAGATGCCACTATCAAGAAAACCTGCTCCCTTGTAGATGATCCTTATACCTTGGAAAGATTTCCATGAAGAAGAGGCTCAGCTGGTGAACTGGGCAGGTTGATATGGGAGCGTGTGATTCTTCAAATAGTTGGGTTGAAGCCGAAGTCATTTAAGACTTAGAATCTATCTATGGTGCTTGATCTAGAAGTACCACAAAGTGTGAGCTTCACTCTCGGGGAGAGTTACCCCCACATGGAATAGATTGAGCACCATCTTCACAAACATGAGACCATTTCATAGCACCTTCTGATCAGCATTCATTGTCAGATTACTGGTACTCATCCAGCCCTTTATCAAATCCAGATCACAGTTCATCACTTCTACAAGCTTTCTTGGATGGTCGCATATCGGAGCTGCTGTAGTAATGAATTTCCTACCTCAGTAAAGGATTGCATTGTGTGACTTTTGAGATAATTTCCAACTCTAAGGTATGCCAGAAATTAGTGGCATAGCCTATATATTCCTTGCTTTCCTGGATAAAATAGCTAGCCAAAACTGATGAAATGAAACCATAACGGCCGAGTCCAAGTTGAGAGGGACTTCAGGGATCATTAACAAAGGCATCCTGATAATTCTTGACCAAAGACAGACAGAGTTGAGCTTTTAAGTCAAAAGAATCTATACTAACCTGACACTCAGGGGCAAGGAGTACCCTCTCCATTTCTTGTGCCTCCTAATACTGTCTTTAAAAGACAGTTTAATTTCTCCTCCCTGAAAGGGTAGAGATTAGTATGCTTCATCCCCTCATGGAAATCAGGGGAACTTCAGTGTGCACAACAATGGCCAGAGTTGCCCAATACTGTGCATGTAAAATCGGTATAAGATACCCTGTAATTGCTTGTGTAATACTAGGACTGAATGAGCATTTCTTTTAGAGGTGGATTATCTGAAAAGCAACTTTGAAGTATTGCCAGTAGTGGAAGCTGCCAGCAAAAGACATTTTGGAGGTAAGGCAGCTTCTTTTAGTAGTAAGCATAGTTAAGCCTGGTAGAAAGCTGAGAAAGAGGTTTTGCTTGACCATTGAGCAGAATGCCAACTTTTAAAAACAGTTTTATCCTTTGATGAAGATGAGTTTTTCACTCAGGTGATTGAGGGGTTCCATGTTTGCAACAAACAAACAACAACTCTGCAGTAGGGTTTGAGAAGATGCCATGTCACCAGTGGGGTCTAGAAGCACAGGCAACCCAAAAAGAGTGCAAGTTGGAGGCATGTTCTTTGAAATGCCACAAGTGTATATCATGGGACCTTTGCTATTGATGTTCTTTTGGACAAAATATTCTTACAGTTGATGAATAAGATGCTTTACAAAAACTGAGCCAGGGTGCAAGTAAAGGAACAGTTTAAACACACAATGCTGTTCAACTGATGTCTGGCAGAAAAGCCAGAGTACTGCATTGGGTGGTTCTTGGCTTCTTTGGCTGAGTTGTGGCCATGCACTGTTGCCCTGTCTGTCTGCCTGTCTGTCTGTGTCCGTCCATTTCTGCAGGAGTCCCCAGTTGTCAGTGTATTATGAGACATCAGGGTTCAGCCTTTGATTGCTTAACCACAAAGGAAAATCTAGTATGTTTTCATGCTTGATTGCAAAATCTTTCCTGCATGGCTCAAGCCCTTCAAGATCATTCTCACTGCTCCACTGCTTCCCCCTTTCTCCCAACAGCAAGAGGAAAATGGTCCAGCTGTTACCCTGATTGCTTATGGACAAGATGGTTAACCTGCGCAAGCTTTTCTGCTGCTCATTATATAACTGTAGTTGAAAGCAGCTTTGCTATGATCATGGCCTTCAGGGGATGTGCAGGAAAGAGGTTTCCTGATCTGCTTTTTCAGCCTGGAACTGCGATGTGGAGGGCAAGCAGGTGTGTGTGTGTGTGTGTGTGTGTGTGTGTGTGTGTGTGGCAGGGCTGTCATGGTGCCTGGTCCTCCCCCAGAGACAGTTACTTGGCAATGTAGGGCTGCAGAGAGGGGATGAACCCAACCTGTGAAATGAGCTTGGAGGTAAGCAAAAGCCTAGGGGAGCGCACTTAAAACTGCATTATTCATAAAGGCATTCAGCAGTTGGTTTTTTTGAAATGGAAAATAGTCTGGAGAGGATTTGTTTTAATTACTCAAAGTGCAATGACAAGATGAAAACCAGAAATTGTCATGGTACAGTGAGGTCAGGAGGAACCAGAGCTTTGGAGAAGGAGTGAGGCTGTGAAGCAGAAAGCCACAACTTAGCTCAGTCTTCCCCAGCCTGCTAGATGGTTTGGACACTAACTCCCAGCATTCCTGATTCGGTCATGCTGGCTGGGGCTGATGGGAATGCGATGCTGCTATGGCTTATATGCATGAAGCAACCAATCTGGGGTGATCATGTAGGTCCTAAGGCAGTGGAAGGTTTTGCAGTGTGCTATATATTCTTCTTACCCCTTTCACAAAGCCTTTGAATCATAGAATAACAGAGTCAGAAGGGGCCATGAAGGCCATTGGGCGGAATCCCCTGCTGTTGCAGGTCACCAGTTTACATCATCCCACTCAGGTGACTTTACAGTTTCTTTTTGACTGTCTCTAACCTGGGAGAGCCCACCACCTCTCTGGGCAACCGGTTCCACTGTCATATTGCTCTGACAGTGAGGAAACTTTTCCTGATATCTAATCTGAATCTGGGTTGTTGCAACTTGAACTGATTATTCCATGTCCTGCACTCTGGTATCAGCAAGAAGAGATCTTGACCTTCCTCTTTGTGACAGCCTTTGAGGTACTTATAGAGTGAAATTGTGTTGCCCCCTCAGCCTTCTCTTCTCAAGGCTGAACATCCCCAGTTATCTCAGTCTTTCCTCATAGGGCAGTGTTTCCAAACCTTGGATCATTTTTTGTTGCCCTTCTCTAATTTTTCTGCATTTTTCCCAACTCTTGGTGCCCAGAACTGGACACAGTATTCCAGATTTGGTCTGACTAGGGGTATAAGGGAGCTACTACTTCTTGTGACTTGGAAGTAATACTTCTATTAATGCATCCTGAAATAACTTTTGCCCCTTTTTGCAATTGCATCACATTTCTGTCTAATATTTAGCCTGTTATCCACAATAACGCCAAGGTCTTTTCAGTCAGACATATTCCCCATCTTGTATTAATGCATTTGATTTCTTTTTCCTAAGTGGAGGATGTGGCATTTGCCCCTATTGAATCCCATTCTGTTGCTTACAGCCCAACATTCAAGTCTATCAAATCGCCCTGGATCTTCATTCTCTCTTCTAGGGTGTTCACTATTCCCCCCAGTTTTGTGTCATCTGCAAATTTGATTATTGTTTCTTGTACTTCCTCATCTAAATCATTACTAAAGATGTTGAAGAGGACTTGGCCTAGGACTGAACCTTGCGGTACCCCACTAGTTAACTCCCTCTGCTATGAGAAGGTGCTGTTGATGAGCACTCTTTGTGTCAATTTAGCAACCAATTTTGGATCCGC